CGCTGGCTCCAGCGGCTTGCGCGTCGCAGGCGACGCAAACCCACTCTCGGAAACCAACGGGCACCCCGCGCTATGTTGAGGAGGCATTGCCCGGTCCAACCAACCCATCAACCAGGGAACCAGACCTAAGACGAAACCAGACCCAGAAAAACACTACTCACACCATTGCAGCTTCTCTTTTTCCAAATCGCGCCTGCGTTTCCTCGATAAAGCGCAGCATCTCGTCCTTCGCTGGATCCGCCTCCCGCACGCGGGGCAACGGCCAGAAGGAGAGACAGAGCAGCGCGACAAAGAACAAGTGGGATGTCTCAAGATAGGCAGTCGTTCCATTCAAGTGATGGGGTTCCTCCTGTTCAAATGCAAGAGCGCCCAAAACTGGCCCTTGTATTTTCAAGCATGCCCATGTGCAGCGACCCACAATACCTCTGGACTGCCGGACGATGGACCAGGTGACGGTACAAAGCTGCTGATGCGTGCAGTGACATCCCCCCTTGCCAAATGCACATATGTTGCAACCCTTACTAACAAAGCTGGAAAGCAAGCTATCGTTTCCTGCAAAAGGGTGAATGCAGGCCATTTGCCGGAAGAGACAAGTTTGGCTATCCCTTCAAAAGGACTGGTTGCATGCGGTCGTGGCACCTCAAGCTCTCATGCAGGTGACTTCATGCTTCTTGAGGGCGTAGTAGCCCAAGATGAGGGGCCCATCAGAGCTAGTTCTAGGTGGCAAACTAACAACAGCAAGCCCGTGGCCCGGTCTTTTCCAAGAGCCTGGTGCTCTAAGATGTCCGGGCGAGTCATTCTAAACCGCGCAGCGCGGACGGATTTTTCTGCGGCCGGCCTCTCGCTCCTTCGGCTCCGTGAAGGCATCCTGCCCCCAAGCCTCCGAAAATGGCGAGGGGGGCGGCGCGCAATAGACACGGCGTGGCGAAAGCGGTCGTCCACCCCAAAATGGAGCCATGGGTTATGCCCCATGGCCAGTGTTTTGTGAGGGGAACTCAAAGAAGCCCCGCTCACAGAATCAGCGGACCGAGATAGGTTCAGGAAAGTCCCCAACCTTTGTTGCGGGGCTCAGAGCCTGAGTGCAAAATCAGCAGGGTCAAGATTTGTTGAGTCAAATGTTTGGTTGCGGTACCCTGGAAGCTTGGAGCATTTCAAAGGTCTCTGGACTGAGAGACTCGGGGAGAAAATGGTACCCAAATTCAAACGGCGTAACTCATACCCCACAAAGCTTCAAAGCTACCAGGTGTGGCTTCAAATTTCAAGGGCGAAATCTGACATGCTATCACTCAGCAGCCTGTTCCATTCTGCCGGGGCTTCATTTACATTAAACATCGTTCAATCATCTTGACGAAATAGCTCAGATTGTTAGCACGCATTGTACATTGAACCCCCTCAATCTTCAAAAGGAACACGCGAGATATCTTTTTTAGGTGTTGTCCCACATCTTGTCGCTGGCAAATCAGATCTGTGCCGTGCAGATCTGCGCTCGTTTCAAGGGTCGGCCTTGCTCGCCTGCGGGGTTCTCCAATGTCAAGACTCTCTCTGAGAAAAAGGTCTTGGTGAATACCGTGTGATCACTTCATACAGCAAGCCTTCATGCAAAGGCGAGTGTCGGATTCCGATCAACACAAGCGGCACGTATGTATTCTAGCCTATATGTGGCCATGAATCAAAATCCCGTACCCCCAATGAACATCCCAATCCTCACTAAAATAGATTAAAATGGGTGGTGCACCTACCCCAAAATGGCACCATTGGTTTTGACCCACAGCCATATCACCTACGTACAGCGCACCGGCAAAACAAGGACAGGGTGCGAACCAAAGAGCCGCAAAGGCGCACCGGCCTTCGGCATCTCCACGATCTCCACGGCGGAACGTGGCAACATGGTGTCGCAGTCCTCGCAGGCCAATGGCAGCTGCAAGCCGGGCGTTGCAAAGTTCTACAAGGCTCCTGGCTCCCTAGCTGTTGCTACAGCTTCTGAGGCGCACCCTTCCAAATCACATGGAAACCAAGAACAAACAGATCATCTTTAGAGGCATCCATGGGAGGACGCCCGGGTCATGGGGCTCCATGGTACTTTGGCCTGGGAAAGCACCGCCCGGGCGCGCCTCTGGCGGAGGCTTCTCGGTCGGATCCTGACGCGTGCTCGCCCTGACCATTATGTCGATGAAAGACGTGGCGCAGATTTGGAGAGAGCTGTGAGGGAAAAAATGGACATAACATCGTTCCTGCCCAGGAAAAGTAACTGCGGTCTGTGACACCCGAACTCCCGATGTGCTGAAACAATGCCTGTCCTTTGCATGTCTGCATTGATGCATCGGCAAATTGAAAGAAGCAGGAAACATAATGGTAATAATAGAAAGTTATTAGCATGTAAAAATACTGCAGAAAGCACTAACGTGTAAAAAGCGGATGTTTGGCCTTGGATCCTGTGTGTATGTGTGCGCAATGTCTTTCTCCCTCTGGCTCTCTCCGTTCCTTGTTCTTTCTTTCTTTCTATTTTTCTTTTTTTCTTTATGTCTTTCTTTCTTTATGTCTTTCTTTATTCTGTCTTTCTTTTTCTTTTCTTTTATTTTGTCATCCTTATTTATTTATTTTATTTCTTTCTTTCTTTCTTTCTTTCTTTCTTTCTTTCTTTCTTTCTTGTCATTGTTTTTCTCTTTTCTATGTTTCTTTCTTTATTTATGTGTGTCTGTCTGCCTTTCTGCCTTTCTACCCTTCTTTCTTTATTGTCTTATGTATTTATTGTCTTTCTGTCCTTCCTTCTTTCCTTATTTCCTTATTTCCGTAACTCCTTATTTCCTTATTTCGTTATTTCCTTATTTCCTTATTTCCTTATTTCCTTTTGTCCTTCCTTCCTTCCTTCTTTCTTTGCTTCCTTTCTGATGGTGCTTTCTTTTCTTTATGTCATTATTTCTGTCTTTCCTTTGTTTGATTCTTTGCTTCCTTTCTTTCCGCCCTTTATTCCTTTCTGTCTGTCTTTATTTATATATTCTTGTAGTTCTTTCTTTGTCTTTCCTTATGTTCTGCATGTCTGTCTTTATTTCTCTATCTATGTTCTTTATATGTTTCGTTTATTTATCAAAAGAGACGGCCCCTCAAAAAAAAGAAGAAGGAAAAAACAAAACCAACAACTGCCAGTGCAAAACACGCCGGACAATTGGAACGTGGCATCCAGCGCGCCTTTGCCACCTCGCCCTCGTCCGGGCGGCCTCTCTCGTCTTCTTTCGGCCCCTGTCCCGCAGCTTCCGCGAAGGAGGGTCTGTGGCTCATCTCTTTTCTGGAGGGACATGGGCGGTCAACCGAAAAGTCCCATCTGTTTTTCCATGTTCCATTTCCAGGGCTCCAGGGCCACAAGGACCGGAACTTCCCCACAAAAAAAAACCAGGGAATGAGCCTGAAGCTTCCCATGTTCTCGGGGCAACAAGTGAGTTCCCACTTCTCTCATAGAAAACCGCCCGTCCTACCCCCCCCCAATAAAGGCATTCGTCCAAAAGCCTGCTGCTTGCGATAACAGCCAGCACAGGGTGGTTCACCCCCGAGGCGACGTGATCTTTGTGACGAGAAGCCAGGTGCTCTAGAGGTTGCCTGCCCCCTCAGTTCTTCCGGAGATCCGTCGGATGTTTGATGGAGGCTGTGAAAAGGACGATGGACAAAAGGAGAGCAAAAGTCAATCTGGTCTGTTCTCAGCACCGCATTGCTTCAGCGCATACTCCAACTCTCCTGCAGTTGCAGGCAACTTCTGGTTGTCCCTTGCCTCTCGCGCTGGTGGCGACCGCTTTTCCGTGGAGCCCGGATCCTGGCAAAAAAAGGATCGCAGGAAGCTACCAACAGCGTTGCAGAGATTGTGCAGGGCATAGACCAGTCCTGTTCCCGTTTCAAAACCAGGATCAACTGCACGACATGCTTCGAAGCTGCTACTCCAGACATACCGCAACAGTTGCGATCAATGACACTGGCAAGGCCCAAGAAGTGAGACATGATAACGCTACGCTCAAAAGACAACACAACAAACAGCGGCAAATCCCACAATGACAGAACGTCTGTCTTCCGGATTCCATTTCCAGAAGAAGAGAATGTTCATGTCCCTTCTACTTCACTTCCTGAACCAAGTTACCTTAGGGTGCCTGAAGCACGAACCCTCCCCTCAAGGTTGCCTGCCTCCTCCACCACTCTCCGCCGCTTCGGGGAGCAGGGGCCTCCCAAAACAACCGGTACCCATCGGCATGGACGGGTCGTTCTTTGCGCAATCAAGTTTTAAGCCCAAAATCCTCAGGCTTGATTTTCTCTTGGTTCTCCTTTGAGGCAGCCCGCAAGGGCGCAGGACGACCTGTCAGCATTTTGATTTTGGGCCTAGAGACAGTACACATCTAGTAACATAGAATCTAGTATGAATCAAAATGGTGCTTTTAGTAATGCGTTGTATCAGCCAACAAACTCATGCTGCAAACAGGAAACACACTTCTGTTTGCCGCAGTACGAATCCGGCCCTCAAAATGCGTGAGGTGCCGCCTGCCATCAACGGCTCCACCAACACGTCCTCTGTCCAATCCTGGCCAGGGTATGTATTATATGTATATATATATATATGTATGTACGGCCGCCATATGCCCATGTTGTGGGTAGCGCGTAAGACCTTCCACCCAGAGTTGGCCCCGCATGCTTTTGCGCACATGTTCAAACCCTGTTCAAACAACATCATATGTGATTTTCCTGTTAACAAGGACAAAAGACTGCTGGGTTAAACCAATTTCGGCTTAGGCCAATCTGCAACCAACTCTTCTAGCCGAAGAGCCTCCTGGCAGCCCGTCTCCAGCTCTTGGGTGACCTGGCAAGTTGCGGCTTCACGGTGCGCTTGCGATTCTCTCGCTACCCTTTTCAGTCGGCTGGCCTTTGTTTCGCAAAACAATTGGGGGGCTTCCCCCAAAATCGACCGCCTGGGGCCGACACTGGGCCAGGCAACTGCACTAGCCACTGACGCCATCTGGAGGCCTTCCGAGCGCCTCATTTCTCATCTTTCAACCCCAGGGGAGGAAAGACCTGCTTGGGTTGGGGAACCAACCGGGGAACCGGGGCCTTGCGGGGAGAAAAAAAAAAGAACTTGCACATCAGCTGTTTATCAGAGCCTTTGAGTCATGGCAACTTGGGGGGTTCCAAAGATAGGTGGCTGTGGCTCAAGAAACCGGAATTCCAAAATGGGTTGCCCTGGTAAGTGGAAACATGGACCAAGACCTGCGGTTTGCCCCTCCGATCGTCTAATTTTGAGCCACAGCCAGGTGTTTGTTTTGCCAGAGCTTCCCTTTGAACCTGCAAAGTCTCGCCGTATCCCAGCTATCCCCGCCTGGCTTTCCCTGGCCTTCCGCTTCGGCTTGCCTGGGCGCGCTTGCCGGCCGTCGAGAGTGGCCTCTCGAATTTTATTTGGGGTTCCCTTCAAGCCAACAAGGACGCCCACAACTGAGCTTCTTGAAATAAGAGACCCCTCCCCCCCTAATGGTTTGCCTTTTGAATTCTGTTTGCCTGCCACTGATTTCAAAAACATGCATGCTTGCTCCAACCCATGTCTCTATCATGGAACACTTGGCTTCCAACTTTACAAGGAACCCTGGCATGTTCTTAAGTAACCTTCACCCCCGGACATCGGTCGCGAATCAGTCCCAAATCCACTACATCAGACTCGTCCTTCCTGTTGAGTCTCCCCTAAAGCCAACCAAAGCGACCAGATCAGCTTTTGGTTTCCCCCTGAAGACCAACAAAGGCCACTCCTATGACAGGCAGCAATATGTTAGGGGTTGCCGGAGCCCAAAACCCACCAGGACCCCCCAATGGCTGGCAAATAACCCCAAAACAGCCACTCCCACCAAGCCACGCATCCCAAGGCCCGCGCCTGCCGGCAGCTCCGTCAGCAGCTCCACACCCTCCAAAGCAAAGGCGCTTAGCGTCTTCCCCAGTCAGGGGCCGCTAGGGAATCCAGACAGCAACTTTTAAAGGTTCGCAAGTGTATGGCTGTGGGTCAAAACCCTGTACCCCTGGTGAACATCAAAATAGGTGGTACATGGGTGTTCATCCGCCCCAAAATGGAGGCATGGGTTATGTATGACCCATGGCCATATGGGTTCCAACTGGCGATGATACTGTTGGAACAGATTCCTGTTGGGTGGTCCATGATCCCATCCTTCGTGCTTCCATCTCAACTGGGTGCAGGGCTTTCTGGCTGCTGCGTGGAGAAACGGAAGCTTCCATGTACCAAGGAAAAGAAAAGGTCAAAGTGCCACGAATGGAGCAGCATATCCACACAGCGAACCCAACGCTCAGGGGGTCAAATGGGCATTGTTTCCCGTACCCATGAGGGCGTACCCCGGCCATTTTACTGGAAACCGTACCAAACCTCCTGCGGCTGTGCACTGACTATGGGTTTTGCAGTTCGGCGCCATGAAGGGGTACACGGTACACTACGGACAGAAACGCCACATGGCGATTTAGAAGACCACCGTGTGCAGCATGCAAGGCTGCACATTAAACATGCCAACCTCGGGTTTGTTCAAGTTGAAACTTGCATTTGCTGAATTCATCGAGTCATCATCCATTCATCATCCTGCTTCCCTCTCTTCACTCTTCAGTCAGACACGACACGTTGAAGATACGGTCCGCCGTGGGCCACTAGTGAATGCGACGAAATCGCATTTTCGGGCCACACAAGATGATTCTAGGAAACACCCCATTTCCCCATAATTGGGACCAAAAAAACTGCATGCCTGGCAAAACCCATGTTCAACGACATCCCCCCCCGCCCCCGCAGTCCCTAGAACCCAACGACATCTCCTGCCTCCCCACGGCGGCTGCGCCGCGGCCTCATCTCCTCTGCCGGGTCCTGAACCTCGTGCCGAGACCAGTTTGGTTGGATGCGGTTCGTCAATTTGTCAGACCTGTGCTTGTACAGTCGCTTGTTGCTGCTCTGGCAACCAGATTCATCTTCAAGACGGTGCCAAGGAAAGAGAGACCAAAACACAAAAATGACATCCACTTACCGTGTTTCAGGCACAGTTTTCAAGAAGAAGGAATATCACGATGTTCGACCATGATTACCTTGATTTTCAATTTTAAAGTCGCAAAGGGGTCTTTGAAAAGACCTCTCTCTGGACAAGCCCAAGTTGGCCATCCGAATGCTTCGCCTTGAGGATTGCCAGAGCATGCCTCAAAGGTTCAACCCATTTTACGAACCAAGGTGAACAGTGTGCCCTTAAAAGACCAACACACCAATAAGCGTGAACAAAACGTCCGAGCACAACAGGAAATAGGCCTCAAGGAAAAGACTTGCCTTTCTTCATGGGGGCTGGGGGGGAGGGAGGAGAGGGGGAGGGAGCCTGAATAAGCCCTTATTAAGGCCCGAATAAGGCCTTATTTGGGGCTTATTGGGGCTCCCCCCCCCTCTCCCCCAGCCCCCATGATTTCTTGCCGCTTCCATGAGCCATGTTGGGAAGGCTGCCCTGCAGACTTTGCCAGGTGTCCCTGCCACGTCCCGCACGGGCCGCTTCCGCCGCGGGGATTTCGGGGCAGGTCCTGGCAGAGCAAATCTTGGTTGCTGTTGACCCCCCCTGCAACAAGCTTAACTTTTGGAGGGGTTTAGTGGAAAACCCAACTTGATTTCCCAAAAGTCTAAAGATTCAACCAAATAGCAGTCAAGAAATGGCCACAAAAGTTTATACAGCCCTTACAAGAATCGTTCAGGTAGGGAGCAGAACCGCCTTCTTGCCAAGACTTTGTCAAAGGATGCACTGACTTCACATGTACTTTGCTTCCTGCTCAGTTTTGAAGCTGTGGGGAACCAGTCGAGAGTGGACCATTGAACGAACAAATAAAACTGAAAGACTCTCTGATCGATGCCAACGAGGTATTTACATGCTTGCACCGGTCTTACTTGATGCAAACTGAAGGGACAGATGCGCCGGTGTTCAACCAACAAGCATGTCATCAGGAATCAAGACCTCGCTCAATCGCTAGACCGTTCCAAAGGAAACCCGTCAAATCTGCTCGTGTGTGGCCACATTCATGTCTCCCTTCTCAGGAATCCTTGCTGTTTGTAGTCCATGGTCTCCTGACCCAGACACATGAAAACATTGGAAGCTAATAAGGCGCATCGAAAAACAAATGGTTGTTGGGCACAAATCCCCACGTCAGCGATGTCTACCAAACATTCATCCACTGAGATGTTCATCGGGTGTGCTCAAAATCCCCATGCCATGGTCGTGGTTCCCGTAGGAACCAAATCTTCAATTTAGCTGTGGCTATCGGTCAAAACCCCGTACTTTCAGTGAACATCCCAATCCCCACAAAAAGAAGAAGAACAGAAAGCAAACTGGGTGGTGCACCTGCCGCAAATTTGGTGCCATGGGTTTTGACCCACAGCCAGCTGTCTGGATTCCTTGAGGGCCCACCGTCCAGCCCCCCAGTCGCGCCGCGCCTTGGCTCTCGCCTTCGCTGAGCCGTGGTGCACCGGCCGCCTGGCGAAAGCTTCCGTGGCTGCCTTGTGCGCATGGCCCTGCTCCTTATGACTCTTCGGATATTGCGAAAACAAAAATCCCACCACCACATATTCCCAGCAAAGCTTGCGATTCTTGAAAGGTGAACGGGGACAACTCACCAGTGACTACCTTGTCAGGCTCTTACGTTGAAGCCCTCTCCGTTGCCGGCATCGAGATGGCCTCAAATTCACCATGCGAATCCTGACAGCTAAGGTGCCAGTATCGAATCGGCGCGAGGTCTCTTTCGAAAACGAACAATACCGATTCGGGTTGCTCCCAAGATCCCCTGGCAAACTCAAAAACTCAAATGACACCAACTCCATCTTCTACACTGTGATCATATAGGAAGTCAGAGAAATCAACCCGGTTGTTTCCCCGTTCCCTCCGCCCCCAAAGGCGGCCCGGCCCCTCCCACCCGTCCAGCCTCCGCCAGGCGCACGGCGTTGCGGCGCCGCGCCTGCGCCAGCGCGGAGAAGCGGGGGCCCGAAGTCCAGGCCCTCACCTGCGAGCAGCGCGGGAAGGATCAGACCCGCTCTCGCGCTGTGGGCTTGCATTTTTTTTGGTCGGGGTGGGTGGGTTGTCTCTCTCTTCTTCTGGAGGTTGCGGGGGTTGGGGAAATTGGGGGGGGGGGGGTGCGGGTGGTTGGGTTGGTTCGTTTTTGGCCTCAAAGACATCTGAGGAGGTGGGAGTCCCATCCCTCTGTAAGGGATTCACGGAAAATTGCGAAAAACCTGCGTTTCCCACATCACATTTGGATTTCTGTGCGGGAAAAAGGGTGCTCTTCCAGTCGTTCAACGATCTGGGCATAATTCCGCGGCATTTGCAGCTTGTTTGGACAAGTGGAGATGGGGAATTTCTGCTGCTGGGAGTGGCATCCGGTTGGGATCTTCCGGTTGGGGGCCAAATTTGTTCTTCTTGTTCTTGTTCTAGGACCAGGCCGGGGGGGAAGAAAGCCCGGTTGCAAAGAACATCCGCCTGAAACGCAATCACCCACGCCCGACATGTTGAAGGGACAAAGGGATCAAGCCCAAAGCCGAAGACTTGGCGCGGATGGCCTACGAAGACCCAGAACGACCCCAGCTGAAGGCGCCCAAGGCCGACTCACACGGAACTGGGTGCCAGGCGTGGACTTCGCCCACCCAGGCGCCTTCCGGCCTCAGAGCACAAGCTCCGACCTCCAGCCTTGGTGGGAAACCTCCCTGGTTGCTTCTATTGTTGGAGAAAAACGGTATACAGGGTGGGCAGAACATGTGTCCAAGGCTGCTTCAAAGAGGACCAACCTCTTCTGATCACAAGCAGACGAAACGCGCGGTGTTTGGCCTAAGTCTGGCCATGGGTTTTGAACTGTGCCAGGCAGTCAGCCTTTGAGCAGCAGCAAAACTCGAGTCATGAAGCTCCTGATGGCCCAATGGACACAGCACGGCTGTTGCGGCCATGTCTGACAAATCAAGCGAAGGATGCCCTTGCTCGATTGTTGCGGCTTCAACAAAACAAGAATGCAACTCTGCTGCAACATCGGGTTTCGGGTCGTGGCTATCGAATGAATGCAGAGTCGTGGAACCTATCAAAGCATGAACATGGAAACAAGCAAATTGGCTGATTGGCCAGCACAAGGTGGGCCCGCGAGGAAGGTTGCTCCAGGCCACCTGCCCACACGCCCCTTATCCCCTTCGGACCCCGGGTGTACTCTGGGCCCGCGCGGGCCAGCATCAAAGTACTGCACCTGCCACACACGGGCGCATGGACTCAGCGCAAGAACTGGGGCACAAACTTGGACATGTTTTTTTTGGGGGACATCACTTTCTTGGTCGGATTTTTGGATCCAGCTGTTTTTGAAGATGTTCGCCAACTAATCACAAGCTATACCCAAAGACAAAGCGCGCAGGGGCCCGCCCAGTAGGGCTTGGGATCTGCCAGGGAGGAGAAGTCGATCCGCAGCACCTGCGCCTCGGGGAAGTGGGGGGGGGCACCCAGAGGCGACCCCGGGCCTCTGGCCTATTTTCAATCCGTTTGGACGCTTTGGGCTCTGGGCAATCAGGCACACCAAAAGGTCGACTTGCATGAGCGAGCGGCCAGACAGCGCGGGGCTTTGCATGATCTTTCCGACCACCCGCAAGCACTCACCCCCAAAACCCTCCCCTAAACACAACCCCCCCCCCCTCCTTGCTTTTCAAGCTGGGCGCAGCACCGGCCAAGTCGTGGACTCTCCTGTGTTCTGAACCCAGCAGAAGGCGTTGACCTTGCCAATTCATTCGCCAAAGCACCGACATGTCCACACCACCGAAGAGAACTTTCTCAAGCCCAAGCACGCCTCCAAAAAGGCTTCCCGAAAGCTGTTTGAACACTCGGAGTGGCAGCGGGTTTGCAGTTGCCCCTGAGCAACTTGAAGTGCAAGAGGATCCCTCTAATTTTTGTCGGGTCTGATCACAATCTGGCTAACCTGGCAATGGAATCAAAGCCCATGTACATGCAGCCAAACGTATTGGGACTTTCGGGGGTTCACAACCAACCAGCCAAGCCACAAATCCCACACGGCCTCCAAGCCACAGCCCTCCAAGCCAACCAAGCCATGCCATGCTGTTCTGCCCGCTGTCTTGGCTCCCGCCTGCAGGCTCAGCTTCCGCATCTGCGCCAGCTCCAGGGTGCAATCCCCACAGAACCTGAGAGATCCATCGATCGCACCCCGACCGAAGCTCGTGGTTCGCCAATATGGCCGTGGGTCAACACCAAATGGTACCATTTTGGGGTACATCCTAGTCTATTTTAGTGGGGATTGGGGGTACGGGAATTTGACCCCTGGCCATTTCAGTTCATGCTTCCGATGCAAAAAATTGACTCCCTGTACCCCAAACCCGTTTCATAAGCTATGATCATAGCCTCCGCACCCACAGAAGGCTGTTTGAATCGTTGACACTTCCGGGCACGGAGATAAAAAGGGCGTGCTTGTTGCTTTTGCAGATGCTTGATTTCAAGAGTAAGTGCGGCCAACATAAGCGGCCAGGACAAATCCTGCAAAATACAAGCATCTCCACACATCTCCGATGGAAAGTGCAGAACTGACGTTGCCAGGGCTCGCGGTTTCCTGCGTGCCATCCTTCATACCTATAAGACAGGGCGGCTGCGCGTGCAAACAAAATGGGGAATCATTGTCAAACAATCATCCGACTTGTCATAGCCAAACCCTCATACAAAAACCGCCAGCAAGGAGAGGTGGGGGTCGAATCAGGCATGGAACGAAGCGGAAACCAAAAGCAAGAAGCAACACTCCCTCGCCGAGAGAAGAACAAGTTGCCGCTTTTGAAACAGCAGTCCACTGTATTTGCCAGTGCGACTTTTGAAGGCGGCGCGCCCGGATCCCATTGCAAGCTCCTCAGGCTCGCGCCACTGGTCATCCGGATGCCCAAAGTACTTCACCTGAGGCCGGAAAAGACGCCCCTGCAAAAACAAAGACTATTTCAACTGCACCCAAACCACTATGCCCAGTTTAATGGGATATAAAGAAAAACAGTACAGCCACTTTCCTTCCTGGTTGTGCGGTGGAGAAAATCACCTCAGAGAGACAGGGCACAATGATTTTTGGGGTTGTCAAAGCAAGCAAAACTGGAGTCGTCTCCGGCCTCGTGGAATGGAAAGATCAAAAGGACAGCAAATCATAGGCCGGTCTTTGTGCTGCGAATAAGCCACAAACTTGATTGTCGTGTTAAATCAAGATCTAAAGAGGGTTCTTGGACAGTAGGGTTTGAGTACAAAAGATGCTGGCAATGCCTAGCAAACAGCAAGTCAAACCTCCTTCAATTGGAAGGTGGGCAATGATAAGATATGCACTTGTTGGGAATAACACACCTAAATGGTTGGTCGCGGTCACGGTCCGTAAACCGACGACAAGCTTTGGCCTTACGATGTGTACCTGATGTGGGTGGCTCGTCTTTTTAAGGTTGGATCCCGCAAAATAATGATAATCTGTGGTTCCCCCCGAAAAAGGGGGCAAAAAAACAACCGACAACCCCTATATACTCGGAGTGCCTTCCGGCCTCCAAGACACAAAGTATGCAAAGCTGACCCTCCCTGTAGTGCAATTTACCGTTCTGCCACTTTGGGGTCCCAATGAAACCATCGCCAATGTTGGCGGTCCAAACTTGGAAAATCAAAAGATCACAGCTTGAACATGACCGTTTCACTGTGGGGACAAACACTCTCATGCCGCATGCCAGACTGGCAGACAGCAGCCGCGCCATCCCCGCGTCGAGGCTCCGGCGGGAGGGTCATGGCACTTCTGGTGGAACGCCTTGTCACAGCGATCCTCAGCGAGTGGAGGGTCCCGGGTCTCACTCCCCAAATCAAGGACATCTTCCCTGGTGGGTGGTAAAGGAAAGAAAATACCCAAAGGCTTTGCTTTTGCCTTTGCGGACCTGTCGAAAAGAAGTCTCCAACTTGGTCTTCATGTCGCGGTCGTAGAACCCTTCATTCTACACTTTCAGTGAGGGGTTCTCAACAAAATGGACCCCCTCTTATGTTGTGGTTTAAGGGCGAAGCAAAAGACAACAGGCCATTGCAAGGGTCCCCCTATTTTCAGAAACCGAGAACCTTTAGTCCTGTTTTCTTTGAGTGCCATGAATCCCTGCCCAAGTCTGATGGGCACAGGTCACCACCAAGCCCTGGCTTGGTGACCAGGCCTCTTCGGGAAAGGTGGTGACCCGGGTCCGGGGTCCCCAACGGTCCGCAGGGGTCAGAATCCAGCGGGGGGTGTCTCAAGATGGTGAGCCCGTGTGCGTTGCTTAACAGCGGCATCATTGAACCACCTTGCATGCTCCACCGTCTTTCCGATGAATAGCATACCTAGTTGTCAAGTCTCCCAGAAAAAAATCCGCTTGAACATGCCAAGTTGGCTCGACAAGGGGCCTATGCTCGGCGCTGCCAGCCCATCCATATCTCAAGCAACCGAAAAGCACATTGGAACCCCCCATTTCCTTTTGGGTTGCCCTTAAAACCCGGTGCCCAGGTCCAGCTCCGCTGGGATGATGGCGCACATCCCCAGGTCATTGGCGTCCGTGGCCGCGTCTGACAAAGGGGCAAAAGCCGCAAGCAAGCCATGCGCAGCAAAAGAATAATCCAGCATGCAACTAGCATCCCCCCATGAAACATATTATGATGTTTGGGGGGGGGATCTCTTTGTTGCAGGGTCCGGAGCTTCCAGACAAGGAAAGGTAAACGAAGGTGGAAGGCAACCCCGCATAGCGTGGTTGACCTGACTAGACTCGGTCTGAATTGTTTGGCCCATTGGCTCTCTCGCTCATTGGCCCCCACTCCTCTCCTCTCTCCCCTCACCCGGCCTGAGCTGCACTTGCAGCAGTGAGCCTTCAAAGCTTCCGGGTAGAGATTCTCCGGCACCGCCTCCAGGAAGAGCTTCCAATACGGAGCGATAGGGCCCCTTCCAAAACCCGAGGAGTTCGCAAAACCGACCCTATCAGAACCCTTCTAAGCAGGTTCTAGTAACCTTACCTATCCAAAGCCTCTTGACGGTCGAATCCATCCGGTGATGCGTTTGAGGGTCCAAGGCCTCACGATATGCAAACAAAAAGTCAAAATACAAAAAGATGTGTCCCCTCCCTATGTCAGCGGTTTCATGTCATGGTCCTTGCTCAGTTACGCAAAATGGTTTCTATGTACACTGTCAGCTTGGTTGTGGAGTCTCGTTTAGTGGCAGACCCATCCCTCGCAGCCAGCAGCGTACCAGCGTGCCTTCCCTCCACGGCCTGGAGGAGCCACAAGCTTGCAAGCCACAGAGAAAGGGTGGAACACGAAAACGAGGTCCCTCAATGCCATCCGTCAATGGAAACCCTCACGACTTGGCCTGCAGCCATCCCGCATCCCGTACTCACTCAGTGACTCAGTCCATCCGCTTCGCCGGTCTAGGGAACACCAAGTTCTTTCTTCACAGCTGGGTGAGGAGTCCCTGCATTCAAAATCATGTTTCTGCTGGCCACAAAGTCATGCCAATCTTCATGATTCCCACTACACTTCAAAACTCCATGGAACATGACATGTGTGTGTGTGTGTGTCTGCCGTCCCTCAGCTCGACCCCTCCCTTGAAACTCTCTCTGAAAACCCGCCTCGTCTGGCACGCGGGGCGCCTCAGGAAATCATGTGCGGCCGACTCCCCCGGCGCAGGAGATCGAAGGCAGAGATTTCGGTGAGAAGGGAAACCGTACAATGTCAGACATGTCCATGACTACGCCAGGAGGATCGACAGGTCGGACATGAGGAGCATAGGGCGAGGCCTGTCAATCAGACTTCCCCGTCAAGCACAGATTTCTTTTAGCTCCAAACGTGAGGTCTACAACATACCAAAAAGGAGGCATGTGACACGCGGACAATCAATCATTCCTTACCCAAACATGATCTGTCAGCTGCTCACATGTGCCACAGTCAAACTCGCCTGCAGACCGTGGTGGTTCCCTCAGTCGGAACCCTCGTCATTGTCTACATCCGGACCAACCCCATGAAATATTTTGACCACCAAACACATGCCCTCGACCCCACGCCCAACCCGCCCAACCGCCTGCGTCCTGCGGCACCAGTGGCAGCTCATCCTCCTGGAAAGGCTCAGAAGATCAGAGCCCCGGTGGGTCTGTCCAGTTTTGGTTGCTCTCTCTGCCACTCACATAGCACTTGACCGGGGAGGGCCTTCCCTTCAAAACAAACTTGACCCCCTCAGGTGGTTCAGAGGTTGGCGTTGCTTCCATTCTCCCTCGGCAAGAGCCAGGAGTTCAAATCCCCAAACCACCAATCCAAACCACCACCTAAGGGTTATCTGATAAATCGCGGTGAATCCTGGATAACAAAAAGTACTTTGCGGGGAAGTCATGCTCGCCCCACCTGCTCTCCGGCCATCCACGGTACCCATTCAAAGGCTGCCGCTGGGAAATCTCTTCGGAAGACAAACAAGAGCGCGTCAACCGATAGTCCAACCAGCCAAACGATGCCTCCGGCCAGCTTATAAATGCAAGCAATGCAGTATCAAGCCGGGCGCTTGGACAGGTCACTCACAAACAGCTCATTCCACCGCCCCCAATTCTCCCAGCCAGAGCGTCCTCATCACGCTGTCTGGCCTAGCGAATTGGACGCTCAGGCAGCTCGGAAGAATGCGTAAAAGGCAAAAACAGGTGGACAACAAGTCTTCCGACTTAGGAATTGGTGAATCAAATGGACATCTAGAATCTGGCCATGCATACACATACATGAACACGCACACGTACACGTACATGCACATATGCACACGACGCGCACCCACTCATCCACCCGCCCGCCCACTTGCCCACTCGCCTGCCCAGCTGCCCCCGAGCCCGGGCGATTTTGTGGAAATCAGCTGAATCAAGGCTTAAGAGGTCTAAAACGGGGCAAACCACGCGATGCGTAAATGGTAAGATTTGTTCTAAAACCACACTGATCATTGAAGCTCCCAAGCCTTCTTCCTTACATCGCATCTGTCTCGTCCATGCCAACCACCAATGTCTGCCCCCCTCCCCAGTCCTTGGCTTTCGTCAGCTCCTTCGGCTTCGGCCCCTTCTGCTCCTTCGGCGCCTTCGGCTTCGGCTCCTTCTGCTCCTTCGGCGCCTTGGGCTCCTTGGGCTCCTTGGGCTCCTTCGGCGGACGGCTCGCCTTCTCACCTGGGGCGCGGTCAGAGCGAGGCGACCCGGGGGCCCTGGCACCGAGCCAATGGGAGGGACCCTTCACGTCAACACGCAAGACAGGCGACACAGGGATCCGGATGCATGATACACCTGATCATTGCCTTGTAAATTATTTTGGTGGAAAAAACCCTGTTTCAAACGGGCAAAATGTATCTTTTAAGGAGCCCTGCTACATGTCATAGAATTGGAACGCCCGAACACTTCACTCGCCCAGTCGCAGACCGCAAAGACCGCAATCAGACATCGCAAGTAGAATTGGAACCTGCGAGTCGAGGAACTGTTTTAGAGCAGCTACAAGGTCCAAACCCTGTCGACTTCACACCGATGAGCCCGACAAATAAGGCAAGTGTCGAAAGGAGCAGAAACCCATACAGAAACACCAACCGGAACAAAGCAAGCAAACAAACAAGCAAAGCAAAGCAAAGCAAAGCAAAGCAAAGCAAAGCAATCAAATCAGATCAGATTAAATCAAACCACATCAAAACAAATAAATAAATAAATAAATAACATAACATAACATAAATAAACAAATGCATAAATAAATAAATAAATAAATAAACAAATAAATAAATACATAAATAAAATAAATGAATAGAATAAATAAATAAAATAAATGAATAGAATGAATAAATAAATAAATAAATAAATAAATAAATCAATCAGGCAAGCAAGCAAACAAACAAACAAACAAACAAAAGCAAACAACCGAACACTATCAACAAGCAAGAAAGCGAGCAAGCAAGCAAGCAAACAAACAAACCAACAAGAGACAAAGAAACAGCTGCCAACTAAACAAAACCAAAAAGCGAGCAAACAAACAAACAAACAAACAAACAAGCAAGCAAGCAAGCAAACAAACAAACAAACAAACAAACAAACAAGACAAACAAGACAAACAAGACAAACACAGTCCACAAACAAAACATAATCAAATCCCGACAAACACACCGACACGCGCGCACACACACACACACAACATACACACACAAATGGTGGCAGACGCTTGAGGCATTAACAACTTTTGCTTGTGGAAATAGTCGAAAAGCGTGTGTGTCTGGCTATGGTACCCTTTCTGGGCTCGGAAGAAAGGGAAGACCCTGCTTGGCGCGGTCCCTGGTTCAAAGAAGAGGAAGGTATTGGGATAGATGTTGACCAGTGATTTTGCAAGGAAGTCATCAAGATCCATAGCCAAATGGAACACCTTGGCCCTTCCCGCTTTTGGCACGTGCTTGCTGCCCTTGGGCCCCAGCCGGCCGCCTTCTCCGCCGCCTTTGCCTGGCTCTGACAAGGGGAGGTGTGCGACTCCCAATCGGAGAACGAGGACATGGGAAGGTGTCGCAGCGTGCCGGATAGAACTTGGAAAAGGGTTGCTTGTGCACAGGCCAACTAGTTGGAGCTTCAAATTGGTTTCATGTCACTTTGCAGTCTGAACACGTTTCCCCAAGCAGCCGTCTTCACAGGACTACGACGGCCTTGTGAGTCAAGGAAACATTGATCATTACTTCTGAACCCCAGTTGCAAATAGGCCAGCAAGGGCTGCAGGTCCAGAAACATTGAAATCATGACAGGATCGACCAAAAGTTGCGCATTCATAGCGGGTGTGTCTGGGGTCAATCATTCGGTGAAAGCTCTTTACCGTGAATGAAATAAATGTCCAACAGGGGTTTGTCTCCTATAATTGAAAAATGGTTCTTTTCTGCACCTCGCCGCAATCACGCCAGGTAATCCACAAATTATGCACACTTAGGCCCCCAACAATTCACAAGGGGCCATGCAAAAAATGGGCTGTCCTGATGCACAAGCGCCTTCACAGCCTCTACAGCCGAAGCCGCAAACGCGTGGCTTCCTTCTCTTTCCGTTCAAAGCCCAAAAACGGTTCGCCGTCTGAAAAACCCAAAACATGTTCCGACTTCCCCGGCGCCTTCGAGCGCCTGCCTTCCGCGGGCTGAGGCTCCTGCCACTCTTCCGAGTCAGTGCAACTGGGAACCCTGGCAACTAGTCCAGGTGTTTCCTTCCAGATCACGAAAAGACTGTTGTAAGACACAAATTGTCTTCCGGGAGGGCCCGCCCTGTGAGGTTCCATGTTAATTGGTGGGAGGCTAAGAAACCTCCCACTCCGCCCTCCCGATGGCATGGGACCATAGGCCTGCAACTTCGCTGGCGCCTTCGGCGCCTGCTTGGCCTCGGACGCTCTTCGGGCGCCGCTTGCACCGTCCGAGTCCAGGGCTCACCCACCCAAGGGAAACTTTGGGGAACATGGGTTGGGGTTCGGTGGGTAAGCTGTGGCAAGACTGTTCACTCTCCACATCAGACGCAAGCAAGCCCTCAACCATGGAGCGAGCATGATGTCAACTGTCTGTTTTCTGGGATACTAGGTGCAACATCACTAGTCTACTTGGGGCTTGGTTGGCAGTCGCTTTTGACTCTGACCACAGTCAACTCTCGTTGGCCGTGCCCCACCCCGAAACCGATCCGCAAAGGTTCCAGAGTTGTACCCTTGAGATCATACGCCCAATGTGCCTTGTTCTACCCGTTAAACCGCAAGACCAACTCCAGGACCCTCATGTCATGTTTAGAGGTACAACTCTTGAACCTTTGAATCAGAATGCCCCCCGGCCATGTGATTTGTTTGGAACAAGAAAGTCTCAGTTCTACCCGCCTGGCAAAATTGCGCGGTAAAGCCTCCCCTTGCACAATTCCTCGTTTTCCTTCAAAGAGAAAGTGCATTGGGAAACGTCCTTTAAGGAAACACACACGGTGCTTGTCGCCCCCGCCATCATGCTCAGAACCCCCTGAAGATGCTGACTTTCTAAGAGGCCCAAACACGCCCTTCCGGGCGGCCTTCGGGGCATTGTCAGTCCCTTCTCTTCAAGCGAACAGACACTGGGCTGCAGGCCGGCGGCCTCGTGGCCTGCCAAAGCGCAAAATCTGACTTTGGGCTAGACACGGTTGAAGGCGACCAGGTTGGTCTGACGGCCGAAATGGCCCAAGGGGTGCACTCTCGGCCTAATAAGGAAGAACCGACTGCATGCTCGCATAGAGCACACGGTTGCCTCCTGCGCTTGAGCCTTCGGGGCTGGCTTTGCCTCGGGCAAAGCAAAGATCTGACCCTCCGTCCATGCAGATCAACAAGCAGAGCTCTGCTCAGCCATAGGCTGGCGCCTGTTGCTTTGGCTCCTGTTTCACCACCGCCTCGCGAGCGAATGGATGTAAGGAGATGATGATATCTACGCTTGCTTGACACAAGGCTGCATCATCACGTTCCATAGCAAAGGCAGCCCCGGAAAGGCCTGTTTGCGCTTTACAACAGACCCTGCTGAGGGTTCTTCATTGAGTTGTGTTCGTCGCCTTCGGCTTGTCCTGCACTTGGGCTTTCGGTGCTGGCTTGGCCTCAGTCCAGAACTTAGGTTGAAGCTGAAGTGCGCAAAATTACTCATGTGCGTCGCCCCATTTTGCTGCAGGCTGATTGAAGCTTCGGGGAGGGGTTGGTGGACCGAGTCGGCTTGGAGCGTAGCCAAACCGATACAACCTCTTTTCGGCAAACGAGCCCCTGAGCCGCAAACAGGCGCAGGCTGCCCGAGCTCCTTTTTGACATGCACCGCCTGGCGGCGTTGCTGGTTTTGTTCGCCAACTAGTAATGTCGTGACACTAACTCAGCAGGAATCACCTAATCCACAGCGTATTAACAAAAAAAGGCAATGACCGACAGAAGAACTGAAACCTCCCTGGCGTGAAGCCTCGGCCTCGCAAGAATCAACCGACCATCCTGGTTTCCCCCACTGCGCGTCCCGACCTGGACTTGCGCTTGTGCCGGCAAGTGGATGGCTGGAGCGCTAGCCCTGAACGTGCCCCGTGCCTTTGTGCTCTTCGCATCGGTGGCCGCCTGCTGCTTTGTCGCTTCTTGAGCATTCGCCGGCTTGGCCTCAGGCGCTTGGGCGCTTGGGCGCTTGGCATCGAGCTTCGCGCCCAGGGCGACAGCAAACTCAGCCACGGGCGGGCGCAGATTCTTTGGGCTCCAGCTTCACCGAAGCCGCCTCGGGAGCAAGGAAAGGCAAAGCTCACCTCTTCCCTCTCTCCTTTTGGCACTCATTGCAAGGGGATCACAGAATCCAAGGCATCCGAGCCCTCCTACATTCACCAAATGTGCTCAACTAGTCGTCCTTGTCAGTCGCATATCCCGCATCACTCTGGCCGCCTTCTTGCTTGTCTCCTGCGCTTGAGCCTTCGGGGCTGGCTTTGCCTCGGGCAAAGCAAAGATCTGACCAGCGGCGTGAGGCTCGGTCCATGCAGATCAACAAGCAGAGCTCTGCTCAGCCATAGGCTGGCGCCTGTTGCTTTGGCTCCTGTTTCACCACCGCCTCACAGCTGTAGCCGCCAATCTGCATAGGCGATCTCTCTGGGCAAGATTTGGGGGAGCTTTTGAAACACTCATTCACTCACACACAAACAAAAGAGAGAAAAAAAATAAAAAAAGAAGAAAAAAAAAACGATGCAGCAAGTTGCCACAAAGCTTTGTGTGGAAGCATCCTGTCGGCCTCGCCCTCACAAGGCCTCGTCCGAAGAACTCGGGACCGGGTCCCGAAAAAAAACGCTGGCCTTCTTCGCCTCCGCCTTTGGAGCGGCTACCTCGGAGAGCGAGCCACTGGATTCATAGGAGTCCCCCCAGTTTTAGAGAGGGACCTCGTGTTCTTTGAGGCAACTCTGGGCTCCAAAAATTGGGTCGACCTCAGACGAGAAGAGGTTTCGGCCCCTGCGGCTTAGTGAAGTGGCATCTCCTGCTGTGCTGGTTCAAGGTGTGCTGGTTGTGCAAGGGCACTCTGCCGAAGTTCAGCGCAGGCGAATAATGCTTGGCCACGGGCGGATTGCTTCTCCTGCTTGGGAGCCTTACGAGAGGGATATATTCTGCGCGACTCTGCCTTGTGGAAACTGCCGTGTGACACCACTGCAAGGCCTTCCCAACCAATTCCTCAAGCGGATGTTCCCTGGTGCCTGATGTACGTCTCACCCGGGCAAAGGACACTTCTCACTTCTCCGGCCATCCCAAACAAATGAATATAGCACGCACTTTCTTCGCATGTTCTTCTTGTCGTGAGACCATCCAAAGCGAGCCTAAAGTCTTTCCCACTTCCGGACATAAGCGTACATGTTTGTCTCCAAACAAAAACACCCAAAAACACCCCCCAAACCAAAAATGCGCGATTTCTTTGGATTCCTTGGTACCCTCAAGAAACACTCGCAAAGCCCGCCTTCTTGCCTGTAGGCGCTGGGGCCTGCGTGGCAAGCTCTGGGTGATGGCTCTTCAAAGGAAGCCCTCCGTCTGTACCAAAACCCAAGAAGTGGGCGACCTGGCTCGGCTCCCGTCAAGCAAACATGCGCATTCAAAGAAAAGTGCCCCAAAAAGGCACAAGTACGGAAGCATTGCAAACCTGAATGAAGTAACGATTAAGGGCTTACATGTGAAATGGACCATCGGCCGGGTTCAAAGGCGGGCTGCCAATGTGTTCGACTGGCCAGATTTCCCCCTGCGAAACTTGCTTGTTTTCATAGTTGAAAGGGGAAGCGAACAGAAACCAACAGGGCCAGCCAAAAGTTCCCGATTGTTTTTCATCAACAAAACAAGGCAACCTTAGTCTGGACTGCTTTGTCTTGATTCGTCACCGGGCTTCAGGTGCTTGCGCTACTCCCCGGCAGCTCAAATGCGTCCCAGAAAGCCGCCGGGATGGCTCAAGTGCCTTGGATTGGACTCACGAACTTTAATTAGACCCTCTTTGGTGAACATCAATCTCCATGTGATTCGATGTCCACCAACCGGACATGTTCCAACTAAATCCCAGACCGCAAGTTGCCTGGACCGAGTCCGTCTTCTTCGGCTCCTGCTTCAATGGCGCCTGCCAGCTCCAAGGAAGCAAAGGAAGCACCTCCCCTTTTGATTCGAAGGCCAACCAATGGCACAAAACCTCCACCCAGCGGGTCCCAAAGATTTGAGACACTCACCTAAGCGCGACAGATCGGGGTCAGACCCAAAGCGGGATCGAACCGGGGCTCCGAAGCTTCACCGGCAGTCATTTTTGAAATCTGGTGCCATTATTTGACATGGGGATTTATATCCACGCCATGTTTAAAGTGGCTTCCCAGTGCAGTACACAATGCGGCATGCCATATTTGCACATATGCTAACCTATCTACAGAACCTATCTGCTGATCCCTCGGGGGCTGTGCTTGCGCGGGCTTGATGACGCGCCTTCTTCTGCTCACCCTTCAAAGGCTGGGTCTCAGCAAGGCGCTGCCGCTTGGCAAGGACATCAGCCCTTCCGGATAGTCCCCATCTGGCAAGCCAAAGCCTTCTTAGCTGCCTGAAATAGCTTGGAAGCTAGCTAAATGGATCTAAAGGGTTTCCAAATGAGACTGGATTGACTGGGGCAAGGGTGGGGATTCTGCCTAAGTCGCCGGCAGGGACCTGCGGCTTGTCTGCCAGCAGACCGGCCTTGCACTTTTCAAGCCGAAGAGCCCCGCACCGCATGCAACAGAAAAATGGTTCTCTCTCCCCCAAAAAATATTGTCGATTTTAAAGGGAAGCCAAAAGGAAAACCAGCATTTGTGGGTCCCTGCAAAAAAAAATACACACAAATGGAGTTTCAGGGAACTTGCTGAAGTGTCTACCTTCGAATGATCTGCTTCGTGCAATCTGGTTACTTGAAAAGCTCCCGGCAATTCAGGTGTCCTCAAGCAGGGCGAAAAACATGGCAGCACTGAGCTCTTTGCTGAAAGATCTAAGTCGACGGGCAACGAGCCAATTGGCTGGAGGCTCTTCGAACCCTGTCTTCTTGCAGGGGGAAACATATGTGCAAGATGCCATAAACGTAGAATCAGCGAGCCAGAAAGTAAGTTGAGAGCCATGGTAAATGAAACAATTCCGGCGCCAACTGGACTGCTGCGAATGCCAGCTGGCCTTTGTGAATTGTCCACGGCAAAAGCTGCAATCTGGAGAGCTGGACTGAAAATACCTTGCTCAGCGCCGGATGTCCAGGTCCTCTCCATGCTTGGAGAGAAGGAGCCTTTTCCCGACTCATTGGCCGATTCATTTACCCCTCCCCCCAAAAAAAAACAAAAAACGATACATGTTACATTCGCACAAAGGTCCCGCCCTGCAAGTTTGGAGACTCTGATCAGTGCAAATTACAAAATCGAATCCCTCCCTTTAATCCCCCCACCCCCCTCCCCCAGTCGCTCGGGCCGCCGCCCACTGTGCGTCCGCTGCCAGCGCCGCCCAGCAGTCCTGCGACGGCTTGGGAGGGATGCAGAATCGAATCGCCGCATCGAGCCGATACCCCGGAGGAGAGGGAAACAACAGGTGACCCCAAGGTAGTGAACTTCAACTCCAACAAAAAAAAAGAAAAAAAGAAAACTGGTGACCTGATCCACCAACCGGTGGCTTCGTTTTTGGGGGGTTGGTGGGGGATGGTGATTTCCAAACCAAAAAAACCCTCCGCTCGACGCCAAAACCCAGCTTCGGAGCTGCAGCTGACTCCTCCGGCAGCCACTCTGCTTTCTCCTCGATGTCCAGCAGATCCCAACCCGCCTGCCATACACCCCAATACAACCAGACAAGGAGACCCCTCGCACTGCCCAAAAAAGTGCGTAAAGACCGAAGACCAACCGAAATAGAAGCTGTGGCTTTGCGCTGGGAATGCCAATCCGTTCCAGCGAGAATGCCCACTTTCGCGGGTCCATTTAAGGATATGGGTAAAAATTAAACCACCAGGGAACCGCAGGTTTTGGTCCATGTTGCTTACAGGGCTCAATTTTGGGGTTACCCTATTTTTGGCCCACTGGTATTTTTTTTGCAATTCGGAAACCCTACGCTGCTCCGGTACGCCCAACCCGCAGACGCCTCGAACTCTGTGGGCGGCACCTCGCCCCGCTCTTGGCGAGCTGCCTGCAAAGCCACGGATCAAACCCCGGCTCCCCCAAACCACCCCCTGGTTTCCGCCTTAGTAAGGCCTCATTCTGCCTCATTAGAAACAGGATGGGAGGGGGTTGGAATCCCACGGTTGCGATCGTGGCTCGAGTGGACTTGAAGGCTCAGAATTCGAATGGACTCGTGCCAGAAACAGCTTCCCTAACTCAAATGAAGACTGGTGACAGTTGTTTAGTGCGTACCACTGGCATACATACACAGGTTTGGCCCAGTGCAACTTGCACTAACCTCAGCTTCTTTCGGCCTGCGTGCGGCGCCAGCAAACGAAGGCTGCAAGCTCCTGGATTGAGACCTTGGCGATCAGTTACAAGTGCCATCCTCATATCAGTTACCCCCTTGTCCACATGGAACCTGACTAAAAAATCGGTCCTGCAAGACTATCTTCCTTTAAAGGGGACCCTCTGGTGGGTCCGCATTTTAGGAAACCATATCCATGGCAATCCACAGCTCTGGGTTTCGCAATCGATCGATGGGGGTCGTCCCAGCCTCCATGTAAGTCCTCTGCTCCGCTTCTGGCAGGGAAGCAAAGGCGAGCTTCGCCCCCTTGGCCTGACGCCGACCCTTCCATCTCTACCCAGCGCCTCTGGTAAGATGGCTGGTTGGGCCTACCAAGTTCCCCGGTGGCCATGTGGGTGCGTCTTGGAAGGAACCCTTCCAAGTGTACCTTTGGTTCCTTTTTTTGCTTATCCGAAAAAGGGTTCTCCAGAGAACTCATGTGTCAGATGCAGGGAACTTGGATCAAAAGTGTCAAGAGATGCGGGTATATGCCAAAATTGGCAAGCCAAGACAATGGGTGATTTCCTTTTGGTTTCCATTTCACCTCCCTCCCACTAACATGTCACCTGACAAGGGCCCTTCAAGAGGAAGTTGATCTTCCAGGTGCCCTCCTACAAGTGCTACGTTGGGAGGGAGGGAGAACCAACCTGAAAGCGTACCCCAAAAACTCACAACCCATACCACCCAAACCGGCCTGCACCGCGGCGATGCGCTCCCGAGTGTGCGCGGCCGCCTGAAGCGAAAAAGCATCATAAAGGTTCCTTTTCATTGGGATCGCAGTGGGACAGAAGACAGTATCCCTCTGAAAGACATGAATTCATTGAGATCGGGCTTCTTGGTTCTGGGTTCCCAGTACATGTCCTCTTCAACAACCAATGGTTGTATTAGGAAGTGTAAGGACCCTGTAGTCCACACCGAAAGCTACAAGGAGCGAAGCCTCAAAGCCAACATGCCATGCCAAAGGCAGAATGCTAGAGTAAGTTGACTGAACGGAAACACGCATCTGGAACAAGTTGCCCTCCAACCATATAAAATGTGAGACATTCAGGCACCGCGCGGAAACTCTAAACGACTCATCTCGACATCCGAGGTTGACATGGGATGGTCTTGAAAGATCTGGAAAGTCGGCTGCTTACCACCAAGCGCCAAACATCAAAAGAACTTAGATGAGGTTGCCATTTGGACGTCGGTTCATGGTTGCGTTTCCACGCATGGAGGATTGGTGCCCCTCTGGCACCCACTCTCGTTGCCCTCCCCTCATCGCTCTCTCTGGTGAAGCCTCTTCTGACTGGCTCGCAGCCTCTGCAACCTGATCCTGCCATCCGCGCCCTCACGCCAGAGTTAAACAATGGAGTTGATATGCTTGATCCAAGCAAGCCGGAAACAGAAAACGACCTGGAAAGGTTATTTCGCAGTTGCTCGACGCACAAGCTCGTTTAAGTAACAGTAATAGTTCAACCACAGGTAGACATGCTGGAGCCGATAATGTGTATTTCTCCAGGCCGTTCTTTCCACAGGTAGTATATCCATACGTGGCACATATCACACATGTCCGGGCCTTTGGATAGCAACATGCAACGGCGGTTGTGTAGAGACTGAGTCAGACTGAGATGATTCATTGTTTCCTGCTCAGGGAAAGCTTGCGGGGAAGGATCCCTTCATGGAGCTCTTCCCCCCCCCCCGCATACAAGAAAAGGAGCGGAGGGGGTAGGGGATTTGCTGAGTATCCAGCGACACAAACGAGTCCTGACCCATCTTCCGGGTTGTTCCAAACATGTCCGGCACAAGTGGACAAATGCCACCTAATAACCACCCCCAACCCCCCCCCCCACAAAAAAAAGAAAAAACAAAAAACGACTAACCAACTGTCGAACAATGTGGCTTGGCCATCCCTAGGCCTGGAGCAACCATGACTCATCTAGTTTGCTCGGTCAGTCAGGTTCCCACCTACAGAGTCTCCTGAACTTGGACGCCATGTGGGATTTCAAGAGAAAGGCCAGGTATTGTGTTTTTCTTCTATGTATACATATATATGTAAAAAAAAAAAAAAGGAGCCGTCAGAGAATACCGTCAGAGAATACCCGATGCGCCGGCACAGAGCCGCTTTCCGCTTTCTGTCGAAGTCCTCCAAGTCCTCCTCGAAGACGCGCCATGGACCTGGGCGCGGGGCTCGGGCGGCTCTGGATGGATGCGGCGCGGGTGGAGAGCAAACACCTCCTGACGTCAAGTGCAAGTGCCCAAACAGCTCAGTCAGACAGTCAGTCAGTCAGTCAGTCAGTCAGACAGTCAGTCAGTCAGTCACTTCCAACTCAAATTGCCAGAGGCTCCCTTCGATCTCAAAAATCCGGTTCGCTCGGCCGCCCACGGCGGATGGTGGGCGGAATCGCTGGACTGTTCCTCGCGCTCGCCCGATCGCCCGACCCGATCCGATCCGATCCGGCTCGCCGGCGAGCTCGCCCAAAGGAAGCCAACCAGAGAAAACCGAGCTCTTTCGGGGGTTCCTCATTTTGGACAAACCCCTCCCCCCCCCCCCCATTTTTGGCCGGTCCAGAAAGAATATAATGGAGAGCCTGGAAAGGCCAGCCCTTTTCAATTCGGGCTCTGAGAGCAGGGCCAGTCAGTGACACCTTGTTGGCTCATGTTGACGTGGGCGGAGTGCCTCAGGTTGCAACAAGCCGAACTGCCGAAATCTGGAGCTACGGGATCTCTCTTCTTGGCTCAAGTTGGCCCTAGCGATTGATACATTTGGGTGTCTTAAAAGCGGGACCCGTAAAATGGTGGCTCAACCTAATAACGCCCCTCATGCCTCGCTTGGAGGGTCCCGCCGTTCTACAAGAGCCCAAGGCTGCCACAGGCTCCGCGCAGAGGACGTGAGACCTGGCGCCCGCCTGGCCCGTCCCAAGCTTTGAGCCGTAAGCCAGCGGCGGCGCGCGTTTGCGGCATCCGCGCCGGGAGCTTTCGCGGTGCACGGAGAGGTCCGCTCAAAGGCTCGTGCCACAGGACGCCGAATGCGACAGAGGCTGGCTGGCCACAAAAAAGGGCGACAAGCCAAAGTGTCCGGGGGCGATCTAACGCGTACAACGGCATACATGTTGTCCTACAGATTGGTGACACCCCTGGTTGCCCACTACACCCACTTTTGTGTTCAAACGTGTCGCGACTTGCGCAAAGCTCCTCAGGCAAGGGGCCTACAACCCCAAGGCTCGCATGCTCTGGAGCTACAGGTAGGAAGAATGCTTCGGACCACGTGAGCGACATCGCTTGCCCCAAGTAATTACAGGGACCCTGGGAAAAGTTGGCGGCGCTTTGAGACTTCCCCAAGTTCCGGTTAAGATCCGGCCCAAACCTATGGATCCTAAGCCATCCACGAAAAGGGCTCCCAAGAAAGAAAAAAAAACTTGGCCCCGTAAGCCATCCAATTGGCTTGCGCCAGCTGGCAAGCTAAACCCCGGCGCCCGGGCGGAGTCCGCATTTTCCGTGCCCAGCCTTGGTGCGTCTTGGAAAACTGAAAAACCCAATCCCGAGTCAGGTCCTAAGGTCCGCAGTTTTGATTCCTGAGGGCTTTGCGACTAAAATATGTGCAGTATGTGAACCTCCTGCGCCCCTCGGTGTGCATGTGCGCATGCCACTAGATGTGCGTCTGTTCTTGTTTTTGACCGCGACGACCCTTGATGGGCAAGTTGATTTGAAGCATGCCTCATCAATCAGGGGCTCCCTTTCAGCGCCCGCTTTCTCCACCGGGAAAGCCCCTGATTCATTTTCAGGGAGTCAAGGATCAAAGCTAGCTGAGGCTCCGGCCTCAAAAGGTCTCTGCGAAGACTTTGGGCACGGAAAGTCCAGACAGGTCTTCCCTTCAAATCAGGAATCGCCTCACTTGAAGACTTGCAGCCCCAGCGTCCTTTCAAAAGAGTTTCGGAGTGTTGCTTTCTGGCTTGAAGTTGCTGACACTGGTGCCGCCCAAGAGTAAAGGCCTGCACAGACTAAAGAACAAGCCGCCAGCTTCCAGATCTGACAGGTAGTTTGCTCCCACTATTCCCTCCAAGTGTCTTGCTTCTCAGTGCCTCACTTTGCAACTTCCGCGTTCCGAAAGCTGGCGACTGTAGCTGCACATCCAAAATGCCGCCCGTGTCTAGAACAGGCACACCGGCCGAAGCCGCACGAGTTGCAAACGACGGACAGTCAACCATACACGACTTGGCAGAAGCAACGTGGAATTTGCCCATCCGCTGCCGGGCAAGGCCCGCGCGTCCCGCTTTTGCAACTCAAAATCGGTTGCTCCTGCCCTCAGCCGAGCAGCGGGGGAGCCTGCGAAAGTCCCAAAGAGCTCGAGAGCCTTGGGCTGGCCCCTAAACTCCCTACCCAACTGTGGAAGAGCTTGAATGATGGGTTTTGAAGGGAGAAAACGCGAAATGAAGGGTCATCGCTCGGGCCGTATGATATGCAACACATTCTGCCGCAGGTTTGCATCGTGATGGACATGTCTTTTTTTCCGCGGCAGGCCGCTGAAGCAATTGACTTCAGAGTGCAAGAAGCACAGCAATTACGTGCGTCGGCATCCTGGGAAATAGGACTTTCTCTCTGTTAGCCGCTCGTCCAAACTAGTCGAGCTCCACACACCGAGGAAGGAACTGCTGCTGCACCAATGCAAGGCAAGGTGGTCTTCAACTGGTTATGTGAAGGCACGTTTGCTTTGGTAGGGAGCTGAGCAAAAGGCTACCCTTTCTATCTCAAACTGGTCCAGTGGCACGACGGCACAGTGGTACTGTCGAATTTCCCAGCGATCCTCGCCAATGACATCGGGTGACCCAAATTGACAAAAGACTGGAAATTTGAACTGAACCTTAATTAGCCACCATAGAACGCGTTTCGGGCCGGGGTAATCTCCTGGCTGGTGATGGAGATGCAACAACGTGGCGCCCTGGGTTTCCCCTGCAGTATGTTGGTATTTAAAAAAAAAAAAAAAAAAAAAAAACGCACACACACACACACAAGTCACTCAGAGGGTCTGAGTTTGAGTGTGCCCCTTTCTTGGGTTTCAAACGGAAACAAAGGAAACACCGCTGATTTTGCAGGGTACCCCTATGTGGTGAACCTCAAAACACGTCCGGCTTCAAACCCGCGAACCTCTTGAACCAGCCTCGATGTCCAGGGGCCGGGACCAGTGCCGCCGGCGCCTGACGCGACATCTCCCGGCGCGAAGTCGGAACGAGCTTCACGGGGTCTCGGCGGGGAAGGGAGCGGGAGGGGGAGGGGGCCAAATAAGCCCCAAATCGGCCCCATGAGAGTTGGACCCCTCGCAGGCAGAGGGGGGGAGGTTCAGAAGAATAATTGCGTGATATATGCTGTTGATGAGACGTGTTCATTTTGAGGTACGGGGTTGTGCAAAATTCGCGGGTTCTGCTTACATGGCCCAGAATGGACACTCTGTACAGTTTGTCCCAGAATCTCCCAAGAAAAGCAAACTTGGCCACCTCCCGTTTTGGGGCCGTTGAATTCCATTCATCTTCCTGGATTTGGTTTCCAGGAGGTGCGGCAAAAGGTGGTGCCCCAGAAAGCATCTTCAGGCCGTCTGAAGACTTGGGATCACAAGTTGAGCCAACTGTTGCACATCTCATGTCGTGTGGGCGGGGTGATACACCGACACCAGAGCCGTCGCACTTGCTCTGCGAGGGATGCTAGTCCGCTCGATGCCTGTGTGTGTGTGTGTGTGTCTAGGCCAAGCAATTTCGGATGATACGAAAGAGGCCAACTTAAGAAAATGCCTAAGCATACAAATCATACGAACACAAGTTCAGGCCTCAAAGGGGCCTTTCCGCCATCTGCAGTGAACAGAGTTCCTTTGAGGAAATAACCGGACGATACCTGCAACCCAAAGGGCTTCATCCTCTCCACCGGCTGGTGAGGCTGAACTGCATCTTGCGTAGGAAAGTGTTTGCTTCACCTTTCGCTAAAGTGGCACCGAAGGCAGCACAGAACCCATCCGGAAGCCCCTGGTAGCCCCTACCCAGCCGTTTGAACCCAGGATCACATACAAAGTTCCAGATATCTCCCCCTTAAACGTCGCCCTGCCCTTGGAAAACGTCTCTTTACCCATAAGGTGATTTTAAAAAAAGGGGGGAAATACTCCCCTGCAAGTGGAAACCAAAAACGGGTTCCAAATGCAAGAGTTTCCTCTAAACATGATGCTTTATTCCATGTCAATCTGAACACAAGGCCCCCCCCAAAAAAAAGAGCTGAAAGTGGGTTTAGGGTGGAACACACACACACACACACACACACACACGCACGCACGCACGCACGCACGCACCCACCCACCCACCCACCCACGCACGCACGCACGCACGCACGCACCCACGCACCCACACACACACACACACACACTCATGTCAGACATGAATTTCAAGTAGGGTTTCTTTGGTGGACATCATGTTACATGCGGATTTATGTTTGTAGGAAGCCGTGTCTGCCCAAAAGCCCTGCCTCAGCAGCGCGAAGACCACAGCGAAGGAGCCCGCCGCGGTCAGCATCATCGAGCTGGGGCGGCTGGTTTCGGGGTGTTGGAATGTAAGGCACATCAAAGGCATCTGCGTTTCCAGGGAGTCTCAATTCTGAAAACTAGACCACGGTTGGCCCGAAAGCAGAACATCGCAAGCGAGGTCAACCCAACACTGCAGAATGCGTTCTTTTTCCCTCACGAAGCATTCGTGAAGCAAGCGCGAGACAGCACCAGGCAAGGTGCTCTGTGCAAGTTGCTCTGCGCAAGTTGCTCTGCGTAAGTTGCTCTGCGCAAGTTGCTCTGCGCAAGTTGCTCTAGGCAAGGCGCTCTGCGCAAACTGGTCGGTGCAAGTTGGTCTGCGCAAGTTGCTCTGTGCAACTTGCTCTGCGCAAGTTGCTCTGCGCAAGTTGCTTTAAAATGCAAGTTGCATCTTGCGACGCCCGCCCGCGGACCAGGGAGGAATCGAACCCGCGACCCGCCGGTTCCGGGAGCAGGCGCGCGAACCACGAGACAACTCCCGAGGACCAGTTCGAACCAGAAAAGCACCTCGACCACGCCGATTCCCGCAGAGGGCTGCGCGAGCACCGCAGAAATTGCAAAAAACTTCGAGTTTTTGCACCTCGACCACGCCGATCCCCGCAGAGGGTTGCGCGGGCACCGCAGAAATCGCAAAAAAACCATGGGTTTTTGCACCTCGACCACGCCGATCCCCGCAGAGGGTTGCGCGAGCACCGCAGAAATCGCAAAAACCATGGGTTTTTGCACCTCGACCACGCCGATCCCCGCAGAGGGTCGCGCGGGCATGTCGGAAATCGGAAAAAACCATGGGTTTTTGCACCTCGACCACGCCGATCCCCGCAGAGGGTCGCGCGAGCACCGCAGACGCGCAAAAAACCATGGGTTTTTGCACCTCGACCACGCCGATCCCCGCAGAGGGTCGATTTTCGTGTAGTGTCGTCGGCACTACCCCGCCGCCCTAAGAAGAGATTTTAACTCCTCGCAAGTCAATTGCACTTGACTCCTTGCACTTGCAACTTGCACTTGACTCCTTGCACTTGCAACTTGCACTTGACTCCATGCACTTGCAACTTGCACTTGACTCCTTGCATTGCAACTTGCACTTGACTCCTTGCACTTGCAACTTGCACTCCCTTGCGCAGCTCGCAATGACTCTCATGACTCCTTGCAATGACTCCTCTGCAATGACTCCTTGCAATGACTCCTTGCAATGACTCCTTGCTCCTTGCAATGACTCCTTGCAATGACTCCTTGCAATGACTCCTCCTTGCAATGACTCCTTGCAATGACTCCTTGCAATGACTCCTTGACTCCTTGCAATGACTCCTTGCATGACTCCTTGCAATGACTCCTTGCAATGACTCCTTGCAATGACTCCTTGCAATGACTCCTTGCAATGACTCCTTGCAATGACTCCTTGCAATGACTCCTTGCAATGACTCCTTGCAATGACTCCTTGCAATGACTCCTTGCAATGACTCCTTGCATTGACTTTATGATGATGATTCCTTGCAATGACACCTTGTAATGACTCTCATGAGAACAACTCAAGTGAACCCAGCGGAAGAACCCTTCGCCATGCTTTCGGGAAAAAAAAACACACACACACACACACACTGCAAGCGGAGGCAAAACAGCAGCAGTTGCCGGTCTACGGGCTCGAACCTGTTGCTCATCTTTTCGCTTTTGACAAGTGCTCATTCACCATGAACTCGGCTCCAATTTTCTCACCTGAGCCGCAATCAAAACCTGGTGCTAAAATGGTCTACCCAGAACCATGAACAGGATTAAGAAGGCGGCCGCAGCTATTTATGGCTGGGATCGTCCCTTACTAACCTTCATCTACCCGGGTTTTGATTGTGGCTCACCTTGGGTTCACATGTCATACCCCATGTCCAGTGAAACCCCTTATCACCTTTCCCAGCCTTGAACCTTAAAGGGAAGGCTCAATATGTGCCCGGAGACCTTAGGCTGAAAAGGGAAACCCGAAGGGTGAGGTCGACTTGCTTCTGGGATGCGTGCGGTCAAAACTCTTGTGGGGGGGCACGGTTTGATTAGGAACCCTTGTATTTGTCTAAATTCCTCGTAGGCCCATGGCCTGCCAACCCCAAGTCGCAGAGTATTTTGACCATCCCCTCAAATTGGTCAAGAGCCGAACTGCGCCAACTTGCACTCTCTCCCGCCCTATGCCTGGAGAGAGCTGCACTGGGCATCGCGAGGAGCATCTGTCGCCAAAATCGAATCAGAGAGCCGAGATCTGCGCCCATGGTTTGGACTGCCCCCTACTTTCCAAGTACCTGGGTTTAAATTATGGCTCCCACTAGTTCATCGGCAAGGGGTCACTTGACCTCCCAGTGCAACGGGCTGCTACAGTGCGGGCGCACGGCAAACAAGGGGTCTGGCCAGCTTGGAAATCGAGGGTTTGGAGGATCCAGCGCATGTCATCCACACTCTTGCACCAGCCTTCGGAGACTGGTAGGACTCCTCACTCGTGCCGGCGTCCGCAAAAAAAGAAAACATGACTGTGTACAACTGTCCTGAGCGTGTCTTAAAATGGGGGGGAGCCGTGCTGGGTTGCTTCCCAAAAATGCAAAAACAAAAACAAAAACACCGGGAGCGAACCCCAATTCTTAAACACACCCACCATCCGCAGCCGGAACTTGATAACACGTGTCTGGGGCTCGCTTTTATCCCCGTGTCTGCAATCGCCAGACTGAGGTTCCAGTAGCAAGGCATGGCATCCCTCGGCCACCTGCTAGTGTTGCTAGACATGGGACTCGAAGAAACAGCAAGGACCCCAAGACAGCAAGTTACAATAGGAATCTCTGGAGGGCATCTGGAGAATGCGTGTATTCAACCCATGCACACAGGTGACATGCACATGATGCAATATGCCGGTCTTCACACATCCTCCGATATCAACTGCCCCGTGATCCGTTCGACTGCACAACTATCCGGCGAACCCATCACTCCCTGCAAATCGCGACGCGCCTACTCACCCCGCACAAACATACCATCTGTATCTCACTTGAGAGGGGGAGGGGGTCGGTCAACATGGCAAAAAAGATGTTCGCAATGCTATCGCGAACTCGCAATAAAAAGAAGTTTTGCAAGTTATGCCAGGGAGAAGCCATGAAAAGCAGGAAAATCAGAACCACACCAAAAAACAAAATCCATGAGAAACCGAAAACCATGAAAAGTCGACCAAACCGGGAAACCGAAAGGTTCATTCGGTCAATTTGCTTTGGATTGAGAGATCCCATTTCTAGCTACTAAGTCATGAGAGCCTCCCCAGCCCCAAATTCAGGTGGACCAGAAGGGATGGGGCACCAACAGGCTGGAGAGACCAAAAACCCGAACCAAAACACATGCTCTGCGTGGTAACAAACTCATCAAACCTTATTCAAACAGCCTCCTTGTGGTTCCCCTCTGAAGTCAGGGATGCTTGCCAGAGGTCTGCTGGTTTCTACTGTTCCTCAGTCAGATGGCCCAAAAACTGGCTGAGCCTCTGTGCTGGGCGGCCCCACCCAGCGCTTCTCCTCCTGCTGGAAGCGAGCGGAGGACTCGGCCTCGGAGAGCGCCCCCTTTTTGGGGCGGGCCAGATGGATCAAAGCTCGAGCGAACACTTTCTAGAAATGATCGAATTAATATGCCAAAGAGGGGGCGTGTTTCTGCAAATTGTTCGCAAATCCCCATTGGCGGGTATTGGTGGGAGTTGTTGATGGGGAATGGACCCTTTGGTGGACACCATCTGGGCACTGAATGTCCACCAAGTGCGGTTGAGGGCATTCCCAATTCCCATTAAAACAACAACACACAGTCCAAGGTGGCCAATCTGTGTCAGCCTACAACATGAAGATCAAGGAAACAGGCGCAGGCCGTCCCAACAAAAGCCACAATACCAGACACAATCACCAGCCTCCTGGTAGGCAGCCTGCGCGCCCAACTTCTCAGTGACCTGCCGAAAACTGTTGGCGCCGGGGGCGGGCGAGAGAAGGAGTCATTGTATTGGGTCTCTGCCCTTAGGCTCCGCCGAAATGATGTGCCCAGAGATCCTTTCGAGTTGATTCTTTAAAGGCGCGTTGGCAGCTTCTGCGAGGAATGCTTTGGGGCCCTTTTGGTGCTCGCTGTCGAGATGGGAGTTGAGTCTCGCGCAGAATCTGGAAAATCTGGAAGACATGCTGGAAACTCAGGGGAGGGAGTGCTTCTTTCTCTCCCTGTAGGGGCCGCAAAAGCACGAAAGCGCGACATGGACTGTGCGATCCTATCCTTGTCTTGGGGAGGAGAAGCACATCTCAAGACAGAGAAAAGCTTAATTCTAGATTCTAACTAAAGCAGACAAGCAAAAAGCCGCCCCTGGGGGGCGACCAGTGTCATCTTGGGCGCCCATCATATTCTCGCAGCAAAGCACAATCTTGCCACAGGCACAGTGCATTTTCTTGGTTCCCGTCAGAACGCTTCCTCCCACTCACTAACACAGTACCTGAGGGCACCTGGAAGATCGATGTCAAGGGAGAGACGGTACCTGGAAGGAATCGTTGGAGCGCCACGCTCCTGGAAGGACAAACCGGGCACAGTGCGAGGCCGGAAGCCCGCGGCCTCGTGCATCTGTGCCACAGCCTCCTTGGCTCGCTTCATGAGGTCCCTGGAGCCGATCAAACTGAGTGGAAAAAAATGGTCCAGACGGCGAGGCTTTCCGAAGCCGATCTCAGAAACATCTGCCCTGAAAAACATGCCGGAGCTCTTGGAAACCCAAAGGAACATCAAAAGGCGCTCTGGTTTTTGAAGCGCTTGAAAGTTTACCGTGCCATGTTTCTTCGCAGCTCAGCCAACCAGAATCAAAAGCTTCAAAAACCCGACACTGTCGCTTGTCATTGGGCAACTGGGTAAGCTGTTGCAATCTGTCTTGACGGGACAGGGAGACAAGTTCCCGGCGGATATCCTGCAACGAGGTATCTACACGTACATTGAGCCAGCGCCCTCCCAAAAAGAAAAACGAAAACTCTGCAGGGAAAAAAACAACAAAAAAAAGTTCTTGAGCTTCCGACATGTGGGGCTGGTTGTTTTGAGGGTCCCCTTTGGGTGGGTATGGGGAACAAACGGAAAACCAACTTGAGGGATCCATTTGCGATAAACCCGCGCCACACGCCGCAGTTCAAATAAATGCCCCTCCGGCATTCAGCCTGCCGCGCTTGTCGAAGGAGGATCTGTGCAGGTCATCCTCCACCCTGGAGAAGTAGTCGCTCACCTGTGTCCGAAGGAACAGGGATCTGATAGGAACAATGGCTACAGGAACATGGTTTGGACTGGCTACTTTGAAACAAATATGCGGTACTTTTGTCTTAAAACAGGAGTTCAGCAAAAGGAAGATCTCTGATACCCTTTGAACAGACCCGTTGGCTTCAGTTGCTGTGACAAATATGTCAAACTTTTATCTTTTTCTGCTGGAAGGCACTGATTGGACTGTCAGTTCTAAGGCTGAAATAAGGATCTGAAATCTGGAACCTGTCTCGCGGCGGATGTGATCGTCTTCTTCATGCTGGTTCCATGTATCTGTACCTACGAGCGTATAGACTCGTATTGTTATAGTATTCATCATTATTCGTGCTATCAAAACCAGCGAGCGGGTGCGGGTGGACATGTTGCGGGCCCCCCAGTTCAGCGGGGCGCCTCTCGAAATTTTCCTCAGGCGTTCAGGTTCCCCCCCTCCCCCGCTATCCACCAAAAAGGGATGGTGCCTGGTCCTTCAGCCGGTCCGCCCTGTTCTCAGCACCTGCGCCGAGTAGGGCCGTGCAAAGGTACTTGCTTTTGTGACCGGGCAGGCCGAGAGTTGTGTAAAGGGCATAGGTGAATTTCAACCACATACGAGGGCAACAACTCCGGGAGCCCGAAATTAAATATGCTTCTCTCCACTCAAGCCCCCTTCTTCTCAACACAAACATACAAATGGACCGCCCCGTCGTTCGTCTCGTTGAGAACCCTGTTTGGATGGGTAAAGGCAATCAACACAGCCCGTTTGTTTGGCGGCCTGTCGCCAGAAAGGAAGCAAACCACTTCAATTTGGTGGGACCTCTTATGGCCTATGTTAACGCCCAAGGCAAGCCAAGGCCAAACAAGCCATGACTCATGGCTTGTTGAGTCCCCCAAGTCCGGGGTCCCTTCAGCCAATCCCGCGGGCAATTCGATCTGTTTTTCATCTGGCGACCCTTCGGTTGACATGGGAATCTATGTCACACCATTCTTCAGGGGGTTCCAACCATCAAAACTAATCGCCAAATCACACATGTCTTCTGAAGTGAATGTTGGGGCCCCCAAACCAATCCCCCCCAAAAAAAAAATCACCCCAAAACCAATCCCCCCAAAACCAATCCCCCAAACCAATAAAACCAATCCCCAAAACCAATCTTTGGCATCGGTGGTGAGTGAGGTGACGGACTCACCAAACCTTTGGGGCCCCCGGCGGTTGGACACGTCCCCGGCCGCGTCCCTCATGAGGTCCTCGTGGCGCTCGTAGACATTCTCCGAGATGTGGGCAGCCCTGGCACTCGCATCATTCTTCGTGGGCGTCTTATCCGGGCCGACGCATCTGTCCCCAGAAAGAAAAAGGAGGGGAAAAACACACCGCCGGGCGCATGAAGCCCCCAAGAGATCTGGAGAATAAATCCCATGAGTCTTCACTCCCCTTCCAAACCTGGGCTCGCTTAGTTCGAGGAAAGCTTCAGGAGGCCCCTTGGCGTCGGTCCGCCTCTGAGCCTTCACCGCCTTCTTGCCCAGGGCCTAGCAAGCGGCACGGGATTGTTTCTGAAGGAAGCCCAACGAGTCCACTCTGGCTTCCCAAGGCCGGAACACGGGTTCAGAAAACGGCCACATGAAGACTCGAAGAAAACCTGAACAAAAAAAGGCTCAAGCCAAGCGGCGGTCCCAGCAAAACAGACCGCTTCCCGGAGTCGGGCCTTCCAGTTCCTGGCGGCATCCCGGGTGTCGAACTCCATGGCCTTCACCTCCACACCGCGCGGCTTGCAGACTGGGGGTCGTGGGCACATGTGAACTGAAAATGTCTGCCAGCCCGGGGGGAGCGCTGGAAGGGAAAACAGAAGAAGGATATTGAAACCTATTTTTCGCCAACTGCTGAAAGGTTTGGGGTCTCAGCCCAGATAGGCTCCCTGAGGCAAGGTTCCACGCGGGTTCCACCAGGGTTCCACACAGTTCCACCAGGGAGCACTAAAAAAGAGCCCCGCATGCTGTTGGGGATATCACCTGAGCTTATTCCCCAAATAGTATTTACACTAAGGGGTTCTTACGGTAAGAGTTAAGGCCTGGTGTAGATCGAGGTGCGGGCTCAAAGTGCTGGCCCTGTGCGTAAAAAGTTGTCTTCGATGCAACAGTCTCGCGCGAAATTGGGTTCGCGCTGGTGCGTGCGCTCTCGTTGCGGCGCCGTGCGCGCTTTGTGAAGCAAAATGCTTTTTTTGCTGGCAGGGACGTGGGTACGCGCTGGTCGCGTGTGCTCTCGTTGTGGCGCCGTGCGCATTTTTCACTTTTTGCTGGCAGGGACGTGGGAACGCGCTGGTGCGGGGGAGGTTCGCGCTATCTTTTTTCAGGAAGCCTCGTGCCAAACGCGGTTTTTTGAGACCAAAGTGTGTTTTTTGATGGCAGGGCCGCCACGCGGTGATATCTTCTTGTCGTGTCAGGCTACGACGCTTGGACAACCGGAGCTCTAAAACCATGGCAGTTGTCGCAAAAAGTTGTCTTTCGTGCGTTCTTCAAAACTGCGCTCTCGCTGTGGCGCCGCGCCGATCTTCGGATTTGTGTGTCGCCGCAGAATTCCATGGCCAGCGCAGCATTCTGTGAGACTGCTGTGCGTTTTTCGTAGTGGGCGCAGTATGTTTTGCGCTGCTGCTACAGGATGCGTGGCAGACGCAGCATTCTCATAAACAGGGTCTGTGAAAATCGCGGCAGGCGCAGTGTTTCACTCATTTGCAAGCATTGCAAAACGAAAGTGAGCCCTCTGCGGAAATCGTGCGTGTCGAAGCGCTGTCGCTGTGGCGCCAGGGTCTCAGTGTTTATTTAACGTCTTTCTATGCTTCTGGGCCACCTGTCGTCAAGTTAGACACAACACTATTTGGGGTCTCTTGCCGGGATATTTTTTTAAGTACGTGGTTAAAACCAGTTGGGCACTCACAAGCACAGCCTTTCGATTCTCCAACAGGCACCTAGGGCGCTATAGATAGTGGTTGACACATGACGTTGCCAGGGTTGTTAAACGAGGCAAAGGATGGGGACCTGAGTGGCCCTGCCGCGCCCCTCTGCTTGGCCCACAAGCCAAGGCTGTTCATCTTCACCAGTTCCAGGTGACGGGAGGATTACTGGGCCGAACAAAAAGTTGTGGGCCGTACTTCAGGTTTAAAGGGGGTCCTTTTGGAGAGTCAGCAAATGACAAACTCGAGGGTTTGTAGGGGAACCAAAAAGAAAATCCACCAATTTTGCACCACGTTTGGGGGGAGGGCCTATTCTCACACAACATGTGCCCGCAGATTTTCGTGGAGCAGTGGCCGGGTGAATCCACAGCGGGCCCAGCTGCCACGCCGCCCAACGGCTATCACGGCCTTCCGCATCGCCGCATACTTGGCGTCCTTAAAGGCCGACCTCGATAAGCGGGAGGGTCCAAAGCAGGGACTCAAGAAAATGTGACGAAAGGCTTTGGGGGGTTCAAAGTCAATTGGCCATGGGTCAAAAGCCCGCACCCCCAGCAAACACCCCAGTCCCCACTACAATAGACTAAAATGGGTAGCACCTACCCCAAAATGGTACCATTGAAATTGACCCACAGCCATGTGACTGGCTGCGGGAGGTTCAAAGTCAATTCTCGGGGCAAGCTGCTTGCATCTCTGCAGTGGCCCAGTTGTAGCTGCGCAAAGGAAGCTGCGAATCTGGTGTGGCAAAGGCTGCGCTCCAAAGCAACGCATGGCTTGAAACTTCCCTTGCAGCACCCGGCAAAATACGTGTGACAGAAAACATGGTCCTGATTTTCCAGATTTGCAACAGCCCCGAGAACATGAGATCAACAACCTTCCATAAAACATCCTTCATCATACACTAACCCGTTATTCGCATGTGTTGCGGCTCAACCACAGCCACCCTTCAGCAGGAGCCCGCGCTTCATCTTCTCTTGCCTCCTGGCATCTTGTGCCGCTTGCGAAACCAAACCCCAAGCCTCCTATGATGATGGTCTACCGCGTGGGGGTCTTGTGTCCAGTTACCTGAGTTCCAGCCGAAGCGCGACTAACCCACAAATCCACATGAGCAATGTGTTGGGCATGTCTCTCAGTGCCCGCATGTGGATTGGCTCGAGCCACGCCTTCAACACCGATCCACGTTGCCTCGTGCCGCGAAGTATTGAATACACATTGCGAGTGGTGAAAACAAATCACAAGTCAGGCAGCTTGTGGATCAGGTCGCCCACACAAAAGCAGGCAGCGGTAAGCTTCCTGTAGACCTCTCGGATTTGGTTTTTTTTTGCGTGGGGCCTCTTCCCTTCCGCGCCTGCGGATGTTCAGCTCCACGTGGGCGGAGGCCGTCTGCACCGCGTACACCAACTCCACGGCCTAAGCGGAAGCGAGCTGCCAATTTGCAGCTCAACCCCTGCGTCTGAAAGACAACGGTCGTGCTGCAAATCCTCCAAGCACAGCATCTCCAAATCGCTCATCCGAGGTGTTTTCCCGTGGAACCAACCAAAAGGGGGCACACCAACCCCCGAAAAAAACAAAAAAGAAGCACGGAGCCACCCCCCAAATGAACGGCTCGCCCTCGCAGGACTGGAGCGCCTCGCCCCCTAGTCTCGGGCCCCCGGGCCCGGGAGGCGTTGAAGTCCAGCAGGTTCTTCCGAGGCTTGCTGTTGAACTTCTCCAGCATCTGGAGAGAAACCGAAATCGGGGAGGGGAGAAAAAAGAAAACGGGGGTGAACGGCGAGAGCGCGCATGTGACTTTTTGGTGTTGCGACTTCAGGAAAGAAGAGAGAGAGAGAGAGAGAGAGAGAGAGAGAGAGAGAGAGAGAGAGAGAGAGAGAGAGAGAGAGAGAGAGAGAGAGAGAGAGAGAGAGAGAGAGAGAGAGAGAGAGAGAGAGAGAGAGAGAGAGAGAGAGAGAGAGAGAGAGAGAGAGAGAGAGAGAGAGAGAGGAGAGAGATCAGGAGGTCCAGCAAGGAAAAAGAAGAACTGAGGGGATGTGGTGGGGGCATTTAATTGTCCAGACCGCAGCAGAAGAACACAAATGGAGGAGAGGAAGCTGAATCTGAGGTGCAACCACCAGTGAAATCTTGCAGCCATAACCTTGGTGGAAGGTCCAATTGGTTGATGGACCAAATCCAGCACCAGCTAGGATGAATAAGAAACCCCCTTTTAAAAACAAAATTGGACAGACCACCTGTCAACCGGATTCCCTCCATCAGCTCCTTCGTCCTCTCCGTTTTTCCGGCCGAACTCGCACCCACTCCGTCCTGGGTGCGCTCCTCCAGCGCGTGCTCCCAAGCTGAGCCGCGGGCTCTTCAGACGTCTCCCCGCCCTCCGACTCCCCGCCCTCTTTGTTTCAGGGCAGCCCCGTTTTCCGCTGGTTTTGAACTGACACCCGCCATTTCGGGTCCCCGACTTTTGAGACCAAAAAAAATAGACCAGCAATGCCGCACAGAAGGACGGTGCAACTATGGCTTGTGATGATTACCACTGCTATCAACATAAGAATTCTATAAATTGCAGAAGTATTCTGCTTCGTTGCTGCGAACAGGCCAGTGACAGAATGACACGACTGTTCACGCTGATGCTCCTAGCCGCTCGCAAAAACTTCAACGACGAAGCCCTATGTCACGCCAGTCTGGGGAGCTAGGGGAATCAAAACACCCACCAGCCAACCAAAACACCCAAGCATCCTCTGTGTCACCAAACATGGCGGCCCACTCCCAGGTTGAAAAAAGGCCGTGGCCCCAACTTCCCAAGCGGAGAAACCACGTCTGTCTCCACGCGTGGCTTGTGCCGGATCCATCGGGTTATAACCCTGGATTGATCTGCTAGACAAACCAAGCTATGGTCTTGGTCATAGCTCAAGACATCCGAGAAGGGCGATCGGCGATCGTCCCATTCTCTACTTCCTTGTCCACATCTTCCTGGTCCACATGAGCAAGGCCATCCAGCCCCCAAGGAAGCTGGCCTTTTCGCCGAACGAAGTGCCCCCGGCATTCCAGGCTTGGGTCCATTAAAGCAGCATCCTCCAAATGACCGTCTAGAGTCTAAATAGTGGTTATTGAGGACCCCTCCAACTGCCAACTGGTCCCTTGCAAGCACCTCCTCCTCTCCAGCGCCCGAAGCCTCCCTTTGGGCCCCGGGCATGACGCGTCCTTCTCGGTGGTGGACGACGCCAACTCCTCCACGGTGCTCCAGTCGCTCACCTGGAGGCGAAGAGAAAGGCCTGAAGGAACAAACAAAAACGCATACAAAAAAAAAAAAACACTGACACCAGTTGACACAAGGTCGGGAACTCTCTAATTGTCCCATTAGGCGCAAGCAGCAACGGCCCCCCGCCCGTCCCGTTCGCCCATGCCCCGCAGACTGCGGGCGAACCGGGTGGGCGCCTCACCGATGACGCCCTGGGCAGAGGCCTCGTGCAGGCGGCCGAGGGCGTCCTCAGCGCCTGGAGATGCAAACGGCTCACCGGAAAACACAGGGAGGTCGGCGAAATCCATTTCCAGTACGAGTACGTGGCCATGGGTCAAAATCCCGTACCCACCTACCCCAAAATCGAACCATTGGTTTTGACCTACAGCGACATGCCTGGCAAGTGGCCCAAAACAGCCACTAGGTCTCTCAACCAACTAGTTGCCCTGCCATCGGAGTCTGGTTGGCGGTGCGTTTTTGGGGAATGCCCTGTTTTGGGCTGGCTGGGTTTGAAGGCAAACCAAAACGAGTGGGAAACAGTCATGTTCCAAAGAGTCAAAATGCTCACATATCCATCTTGCTATCGTTGCAGACATTGTGTATGTTTGCATCCTGTACACACCGGTCTAGCATGAGGTCCCAAAATCATCATTCTCACGTTGCCCCTGATTCTCCCTCGTTTGTGCGCGATTTTGTATCGGCTGTCAATGGTCGTCGGTCGTTCCCGGATAATGAATCTGGAGCTTCGCATAATCGTTCTGCTTCTGTTCTGGCACCTGGAATGTGTCGAAAGTCCGGGAACCCCACCATGTGCCATGTGCTTTCCTTTATGGCCTTTTCATCAACCACAAAGGCCGCTAGCCTTGACACGCACAGCCAACACTCACACACGAAGGGGATCGCCACTACGTAGAGGCCAACAGGAGGCCAACTCTCATTGAAGGGGGTGCACCAGCCACGCCTCACAACAGCTTTCCACACCTCTTCTCGTGCAAGGTACCCTTCCTTGCTCATTGACCTCCCGCCATGAGGTCCTCTTCGTTTTGACCCTTGGGCGGTCAACAAACCAACCCCCCCTTCCCCGGGCTCCCGGGCGGGATTTGGCCTTGGCCTCGGACTCCTCCGCGGAGGACACGGCCCGGAGGCTCTGCTCCTGGCATCGATCTCCCAAGTTGTTGGATCTGGAAAACTCGACTTGCAGCCGCGTGGATGGAAAAACCCCCTGAACACCTGGAAGGGATTCGACATGCACCATGCAAATGGATGGCCCTGATGAACACCTGCTGGAAGGGGGATTCGGACAGGGTCAAGGATCGGTTACCAACGGGCTGAGCGTCCAAGCAGGAGGAGATATGTCTACGCACAAATCCCGGCACTTGCCGCAAGGCCTCGCCCAGCAAAAAAGGATCGCGGCCACTTGAGCCGCACCTTCAGGCCCATCCAAGCCGAGACAACCCTCTGCTTGGCTCCTCCTGCGCCTCGTCTGAGGCATCGTCGGACCTGAGCCACTGAGCCGAAGCGAGCTGGGGGAAGTGCCCAGTGGCCATGGGAGAAGAAAAAGGGCATCCTGTGTTGGTTGGTTGAGCTTGAAGGGAACCCTTCCTCGAAAAAGGGGAAAAAGGGCGCGACTCGCACCAATTTGGCACCGGCCCCTCCCGAACCTGCATATCTACCCAGGTTTGACTGCTCATGCTGCCCTGTGATTCGTGATGGCAGGTTGTCATTTCTTGGCAAATTGCTCTGTGGCTTCAGAGAGTCGCTTTGGCGCGTTTGCTGTACATGCAACTGAAATCGCAACCATGAACCTGAGAGTCATACCCTCTGCAACATGGTCACCGCGTTGCAGCCGGCTCAGCCGCCACAAAGATCAGAAAGACGAATTCTCAAAACCTGCGCTTCATCCTGAAACATCCCAGTCTTGCAGCGTCTTGCAGGCTGGAACTACAAGATGTCTAAAAGCACTTGCGGTGGACGATGGTCGGACCGCTCTCGTCGTACTCAGCCTTGGAGATCCACATCTGCTGAAAGGTGGTCAGAGACGACAAGATCGAGCCGCCGATCCACACGCTGTACTTCCTCTCTGGAGGGGCCACCACCTTGATTCTCACCGTGGACGGCGCCAAAGCGCTCAGCTCCTTGGTCATGCGCTCGCCAATTCCAGGGAGCATGGTGGACCCGCCCGACAGCACCAGGTTGGCAAAGAGGTCCCGCCGGATGTCCACGTCGCAATGCATGATGCTTTGGAAGGTGGTGTCGTGAATGCCCATGGCCTCCTTGCCCAACAAGCTCGGCTGAAAGAGAACCTCCCCACAACGGAAGCGCTCGGAGTGCAAGGTCACTAGGTTGCCATCCGGCAACTCGTAGGTTTTCGCCTGGTCGCAGCTGGTTTCGCAAGCTTTCAGCTCGCTGTCGAAGTCCAGCGCCACATAGCACAGCTTCTCCTTCATGTCCCGCACCAGCTCCCTCTCTGCCGTTGTGCTGAAGGAGTAGCCGCTCTCCTTCAGAATCAGCATGAGGTACTCCGTGAGGTCGCGGCCGGCCAAGTCCAGCCGCGCCACGGCGTGGGGCAGCGAGTAGCCCTCGTAGATCGGGACGCAGTGGGACACCCCGTCGCCGCTGTCCATGACGATGCCAGTGGTCCGCCCGGACGCATACAGCGAGAGCACGGCCTGGATGGAGATGTGCATCGCCGGGACACTAAAGGTCTCGAACATGATCTGCGTCATGCGCTCACGGTTGGCCTTCGGATTCAGCGGTGCTTCAGTCAAGAGCACCGGATGCTCCTCTGGAGACACACGCAGCTCATTGTAGAAGGTGTGCGACCAGATCTTCTCCATGTCATCCCAGTTGGTCACGATGCCATGTTCAATCGGGTACTTCAGAGTCAGCACTCCACGCCGGTGCTGGGCCTCATCCCCGATGTAGGTGTCCTTCTGATCCGTGCCCACCATGATGTTTGGCATCTTCGGTCGACCCACGATCGAGGGGAACACCGCACGGGGCGCGTCATCACCTGAAAAGCCTGCTTTGCACATGCCGCTGCCGTTGTCGATCACAAGCGCCACCACCTCGTCCGCCATATCCGCCATCGCTGCAAACTTGCTAAAGAAAGCGACTCGATGTTTCAATGTTTCGGGAAGTCGAGAGCGCTTGAGCCAAAGAGAAACAAGCAGCCCACAACAGATCCGAGGAGACCAGGGCCAGGGGAGCCTGGTTTTGCTTTTCTGGGCCCACCAGAAGAGGATCCCAGAAAGGGACACACATTGGAACACCAAAAACGGCTCGTCATCCTTGGGACCCGGCGCAACCAGCAAAGCCGGAGCATCCTGGAGAACAAAGATGCGTGACGTGCACTGCAGGAATCGCCCGAAGAAGCGGCTTTTGGCAGAACAGGGGGCAACTTAGCATAAGATTGACTTCGGATCGATCCAGACCTCCAAAAAAGCTCATTATTATTCATTCTCACTAGAAGGGCAACCACCAATGCTTGGTCGGTCCTCCGGGCAAATCCAAAGTTGACATTAGCGTGCTTTATGTCCATGGCGAACCCTAAACAAACCAATGGCCGGTGAGCGCTCCTTCTCGCCGCTGCCCTTCTTTGCAGCCTGCTCCTTCTTTGCAGCCTCCTCACGCTCCTTCACCCGCTCCGCCGTTGCCTTCTCGCCTCAGCTCGCTGTTGCATCTCAAGGGTCTGATGATGCCTTGGAACCGCTCGGAAGATACCCCCTCACTTCACAAGCCACGGACAGCTCACAGGGCCCAGGCTCTTCTTCATGTAGCCCTTGGCAAACTGGTCCACGAACCCGGGCACGTACTTGTCCCAGTCCTCACTCAAAAGCAACTGTCAAACAAGCCCAGCAAAATGGTCTCCCTCTACATCTCCCTCACCCTTCCTTGACTTCCTTCTGCTCTGGCTGCTCGGGCTGCTCCGGCTGGGCGGGCTGCTCCGGCTGGGGCTTCTGCTGCGGCCTGGGCACGCAAACTGCCCCCCTCCACGTTTTCAGCGATCCTTATTGTAGAAAAGGCCCTCCAAAACGTTTTCCAAAAGCAAACAAAACGATGTCAAACCCCGAAGATGTCTGTAAAGGCCCGCTATGGCGTGAGGATGTGACTCCGACTCTGCCGGTAATAGAGAAACAGGCGTAACTGAAGCAAACGCTGGCTGCACAAGACTGCGCCATGCGCTTCAGCGAGCAAAAACGGAGGACAACGCGAGGAAGGTAGCAATTGGACAAGGGAGGCCAACCGCGGAAGAAGGCCAAAGACGAGCAAAAGAAGAGGGGCGAGACGAGCAGGAAACGGTACAGGAAGAAGCATGGAGGAAAGGGGCAGGGGGCTAGGCAATTGAAAGTGAGTGAGGGGAACGGGTCGAGAAGAGCTGCAAGAAAAGCAGAGACGAGCAATGAGCTCTTAGGACCAAAATGGAAGAAGATGTCAATTCCCCTCCTCCCAAAGCCCCTCCTCCAAAGCCCTGAATAAAGAATGCATTTTTGAGGATGTGGGAGGCTACAGAAAGAACGGCCTTAGAGAATTCCGCGAGGCACAGCTACTGTTGCTTTCCTAATCGTGTTGAATCACTCTTCTATCTTGCCCTTGTGACAGCGTGATGTGCCACTGCCCTTGTGTGATCAATTGCGGCTGACAACGCCCCCGTGCACTGCCCTGCTTGCACTTCTAGTTGGCTGTGCGGAGAGGGGGGGAATCAACAAAAAAGCAACCTTGTTGGCTCGTTTTGACTAGTTTCAAGGAAGATGAAAAGAAACCACGCGCAGGGTCCCCGGTTTGCGGCACACACGCCCATGCGCAAAACGACCCACCGCACCCTTGGCCCAGCGACTGCTCGCCCGTGAGCGCATCGAACATCCTGAAAGCAAGTCACGGGCCAAAATCTGAGGCGCTTGGGATAAGCCAACAAACATCTGCAAACCAGAAGTGTCCCATGCTGCAGTATTAGAGTATGCTGCCTGAACATAACATAACCGTTGTTCATGAGGGGCTCCAAACCGGGTCACAGAGATGGTAGGCACTCAGTCTTCAGGCGCAATACCCCCCAAAGAAAAATTGAACCCTCTTTGGGTCCCCCACGAAAAGGAGGCGACGCTGAAAATACTGTGTTTTCTTGGGTTCCATGTGAATCCATGTGAGAGTGTGCTGAATTCTGCCAGTTGAGCCTGGTCTTGCAACAGCCCTACTGTTGGGTGGAGTGGTTCAGTCAAGCGACAAAAGCAAGCAAAGCAGCTTTGCTAAAGTACAAGAATCCGAAAGAATTGGGCCTTGATGTTTCCGTGACTCTTGGAGGACTACCGCGAGCGAATTCACCAGGTGGCGAACCAACAGGAGGAAGAATCGTATATCAAGAATGTCTCTGCACTACTGAGCGATGCGTGTCTGCCGCCAGCGAATATGACGAACCGGACCAACACGGCTACTCGGTGCCAGCGCTCAAAGTCAAAAGGGGTCTTCATGATTTTGCATGACTGGTGTCAAGCAGGATTACTTTGTGCAGAATATGCACATATTTGCGGTCAATCGATGTGCAGCTAGCTGCTTGCTAGTGGAACCCGAGGATGAATAAACTCGTGGTGCAGTTCGCAGGAAGTGCCCCCTTCAAGACGAGGGGAAACCCCCAACTATTAACCTGCCAGGTTAATCATTCCGTCAACATCAGCTCTGCTCTTGCCCATCCGAGGCAAGCACAGTGGGTGCGCGTACATCAGCGAGGGGCTCTTGTCCGCATCCTGGCGAGCGCAGCACGTGGACATCCCAATCCATCATGATCTGCTGATCTGCTGGAGCTGTCCTTCATTGAAGCTTCCCAAACTGGGCGACTGTACTAGATTCTTAGATTAACTTCGAATCAACCGGACCAGAGAAAAAAACGAGCCTCTGAAAAAGCTGATTGTAAAATCTTCAATAAGAATGGGAACCACCCGCGCTTAGGTCTTCCGGGCAAATCCAAAGTTGACATTTTCCATGGCAGACCCCGGCCGCTGAGCGCTCCTTCTCGTCGCTGCCCTTCTTTGCAGCCTGCTCCTTCTTTGCAGCCTCCTCACGCTCCTTCACCCGCTCCGCCGTTGCCTTCTCGCCTCAGCTCGCTGTTGCATCTCAAGGGTCTGATGATGCCTTGGAACCGCTCGGAAGATACCCCCTCACTTCACAAGCCACGGACAGCTCACAGGGCCCAGGCTCTTCTTCATGTAGCCCTTGGCAAACTGGTCCACGAACCCGGGCACGTACTTGTCCCAGTCCTCACTCAAAAGCAACTGTCAAACAAGCCCAGCAAAATGGTCTCCCTCTACATCTCCCTCACCCTTCCTTGACTTCCTTCTGCTCTGGCTGCTCGGGCTGCTCCGGCTGGGCGGGCTGCTCCGGCTGGGGCTTCTGCTGCGGCCTGGGCACGCAAACTGCCCCCCTCCCCGTGTTCAGCGATGCTTATAGCAGCAACCACCCTCCAAAATGTTGTCCAAAAGCAAACAAAACGATTTCAAGCCCCGAACATGTCTGTAAAGGTCCGCTGCGGCAATGTCGTGAGGATGTGATTCCGACTGTCCACCTCATTCAAACTGGCTCGGGAGCCGGTCTTAGAAAACAAGGAAGCCGAAGCAAACCCTAGATGCACAAGACTGCGCCATACGCTTCAGCGAGCAAAACCGGAGGACAACGCGAGGAAGGTAGGAATTGGACAAGGGAGGCCAACAGGGAAGAAGGCCGAGCAAAGGAATACTGTCGAAGAGAGGGGCGAGCAGGAAACGGTACAGGAAGAATGGAGGAAAGGGGCAGGGGGCTAGGCAATTGAAAGTGAGTGAGGGGAACGGGTCGAGAAGAGCTGCAAGCAAAGCAAAGACGAGCAATGAGAAGGGAAAACAACAAGATGTCGATTCCCCTCCTCCCGAAGCCCTGAACAAAGTTTGAGGATTGTGGGAGGCTAAAAGAAACAAGGCCTTAGAGAATTCCGCCAGGCACAGCTACTGTTGCTTTCCTAATCGTGTTGAATCACTCTTCTATCTTGCCCTTGTGACAGCGTGATGTGCCACTGCCCTTGTGTGATCAATTGCGGCTGACAACGCCCCCGTGCACTGCCCTGCTTGCACTTCTAGTTGGCTGTGCGGAGAGGGGGGGAATCAACAAAAAAGCGACTTTGTTGGCTCGTTTTGACTAGTTTCAAGGAAGATGAAAAGAAACCACGCGCAGGGTCCCCGGTTTGCGGCACACACGCCCATGCGCAAAACGACCCACCCGCACCCTTGGCCCAGCGACTGCTCGCCCGTGAGCGCATCGAACATCCTGAAAGCAAGTCACTGGCCAAAATCTGAGGCGCTTGGGATAAGCCAACAAACATCTGCAAACCAGAAGTGTCCCATGCTGCAGTATTAGAGTATGCTGCCTGAACATAACATAACCGTTGTTCATGAGGGGCTCCAAACCGGGTCACAGAGATGGTAGGCACTCAGTCTTCAGGCGCAATACCCCCCCAAAGAAAAATTGAACCCTCTTTGGGTCCCCCACGAAAAGGAGGCGACGCTGAAAATACTGTGTTTTCTTGGGTTCCATGTGAATCCATGTGAGAGTGTGCTGAATTCTGCCAGTTGAGCCTGATCTTGCAACAGCCTTACTGTTGGGAGGAGTGGTTCAGTCAAGTGAGTCGGCACAAGCCCGACAAAAGCAAGCAAAGCAGCTTTGCTAAAGTACAAGAATCCGAAAGCATTGGGCCTTGATGTTTCCGTGACTCTTGGAGGACTACCGCGAGTCAATTCACCAGGTGGCGAACCAACAGGAGGAAGAAGCGTATATCAAGAATGTCTCTGCACTAATACGCGATGCGTGTCTGCCGCCAGCGAATATGGCAAACCGGACCAACACGGCTACTCGGTGCCAGCGCTCCAAGTCAGAAGGAGTCTTCATGGCTTTGCATGACCTGTGTTAAGCAGGATTACTTTGTGCGGAATATGCACATATTTGCGAGTCAATTAAAAATGGGAGGCTGTGAGTTTGACCTCGGCGTTGCGAATTTGCCACATTGTCATCCCAGCACTTGTGATTAAACAGAGAAGTTGAGGCAAGCACAGTGGGTGCGCGTACATAAGCGAGGGGCTCTTGTCCGCATCCTGGCGAGCGCAGCACGTGGCCATCCCAATCCAGCATGGTCTGCCGATCCGCTGGAGCTGTCACTCATTGAGGCTATGCAATTGAGGTGTGGTTTGGGCAACCAAAGAAAAACCACCCAGTGGCAAATTCCGATTCGGAAGAAAACCTCGCTGCACTTCCAGCTTGGCCAAAGCAAAGAAGAAGCAGAGCGGTTCCTTGTCCCCCTTCCCAGGCTTGTCGCCCTTCTCCGGCTTGTCATGACCTTTGCAGAAAGCTGTGCCCGCATTTGGAGCCAACGACTGTAAGGCTTCGATGGGAAAGGGAAGTGGTCTTGGGCTGGCAATCTTGAGGCTGGTTCGGGGGAATCTGCTGTGCCACATCGCACCCTGAGTCCCCGCGTTTCGCTCGGCCGACGAGGCGGGGAAAAGCCAAGGTCTCTCTGTCCCGGGGCGTCTGCGAGTATTCGACCAATCGAGGTCTCCCATTCAGGAGGCTAACTTCAGGTCGAAAACTGGGGCTGGCTATACGTATCCCAAACAAATAGCCCTGCAAAGGGCAGAACAGAAACATGGTCCTCTCATGTCTAAACATGCCCAAGGCGCCAGACATATCGGCCAGCCCCGGCTACCCGCTACTTTGGCCCCGTCTCATGCCGCGCCCTCCGCGGCAAACTTGCGTCGCTTCAGCTCTGCCGGGGCCTCCCCGAGAGGGACGCTGGAGCCCCCGTACTTCTCAGGGATGTTCTTTGCATCGATCACGTCCAGCAGATCCTGGCCAGGCGGTTTAGATCTTCAAAGGCGACCCAAACTCGAAGCAAAGCTCCGCAAAAGGAACGTTCATTGCACAGGGCCGCAAAGGTCCACACCATATGCCCAGTGAGGTCACGTTTGCCAATGATATCTGGGGACACCTCTACATGAGCCGTTTGCAGACAACCAACCCCTAGAAAACAAATGCCAAGCAGCAAGCAGCTTTGGCCCAACAGTCCGCCACAAATGGCCAGGGGTGCCCGTACCCCCAGTGAACATCCCAATCCCCACGAAAATAGGTGCTAAAATGGGTACCCCAAAATGGGATTCCACTGGTTTTGACCCACAGCCAAATGGCTGGGGGTTGACGCCACCCGCTTTGAAAAGGCCTCAGAGTTGAAGGGCGTGGTGTGGACTCGCAGCTTCTCCCGCTGTCTCTGCGGGATCAAGGGCTTGAAGAGCTGCCAGATCGCGCCCCACCACTCCGGCGCGTTGATCACCACCTAACCCAAAAGAACCAAAACCTCCAAAACCTGCGCGGGGTCCTGTGGTTTCCGACCGTCAAGAAGGAAAAGGACACACCCCACTTTGGTGCAAAAGTGGCTTTATAACGGTGAAAAAGCTCAAAAGGGCTGAAAGGGTGTTGAAAGGGTTGACGAAGTGTTAAGAAGGCTACAAGGGCTGTAAGGGTTAAAGGGGCCAACAGGGTGGTCAAAGAGTCAAAGTTTGTTCAAGGGATATTAGGGTGTGAAAGTCGAGAGGGTGAAAGTGGCCTACCCAAACCCATTGCAAAGGATCAAAAGAGCAGATATACGCCCATGTTTGATGGTTTTGACGGTCCCTACCTAATGTTGTTTCCCAGCAACGACAAACCAAACTGCGTGCGCTTGAGAAGCCTTGCTTCAGATATCAACATTAACTGCTCACAGCAACACAAAAGTCGCTTCAGCAACCAACAGCCAGTGAAACTAAGGGGGTGGGTACTGTTGAGGGCATGCTGGTGCAGGGTGCGGTGGGGTGGGCAGGTGGGCTGAGGGGGGGTGTTTGCGTCCATAGGCACTGCGCACACCGGTGCGGTGGCACCTGGAGGGGTTGGGCTGGTCGGGCAGCACTTAGATCAGCGGCCCAAAAGAGTTAGAGATTGAACTCTTGGACTCTGTATTCAGCCTGTCTGAAGTTGTTTTTCTGCGAGAATCCTCGGGGAAGAAGGCAAATTGGTGGACCTCCAACTGCTTGGGTCCGGCTTTTCGCTTTTCACCCCAAGGCACCACCAGGTGCTCCCGGTCCGGGAAGTGCTTCTGGATCACCGAGTAGCTCTTAGAGAAGATCTGCAGCATGCTGGGGGTGACCGAGGACAGCTGGAAGCCCTCCATGTCGATGATGATGGTGATCTCCTGCCTGACTGCGAACAAGCGAGTGGGTTGACCCGTTGAGGGACCACCCATACACTTGGGGAAGCTGGGAACTTTGTGTAAACAACCTACTCACCCCAAACCTCACCCAGTTGCAAGTCCCTGAAGTACCTTTAAATGATTCACAGGCACTGCTTCAGGGACTTGCCGGCGCCGGCACTTTCTTTCGTCGGAAGGCAACACACCATTTTCGAGAGCTGAGTTTGACGAGCCAACTTCAAGTAGGCCGAAAACATGCGGGCGAAACCTCCGTCTGGGTCTTTCAAACTAGGGGACCCCTCAATTGGCAGGGTGCCTTTTGGGTTCTGTGTTGATTCTACCAAAACTGGAGCACCAAAAAATATGCCCGTCCGGAAAGCCAAGCCGCTCGCCGTCCCGCTGCAGCCACAGGTCATAGGTGAACAGGGTCTGCCACACCTTTCCAACCCTTTGTCAGCAAAACTTTGTCCCTTGCAGCCCCACTTACAGAATAGAAGCAAAAGAGCCCTCAAAAGGGTGGCTTTCTTTTTGGTTTCCCTTCAAAAACCGAGAAGAGACAAAACTCGAAAAGAACCAAAAACAGCACACCCAACTGGAAGCAAACCTGCTTTTCAAAAGGCACGTAGTCGTCCCGCACCAGATCGGGGGTCATACCCTGCTCCGACAACCCCGCCGGGTTCAGCTGCCCGGCCATCTGCCAGTAGGTGAGCCGCCCCGCCTGGTCCGGGAGGTGCAAATACCTCATGCCAGCTGGGCTTGGGGTTTGGATGCCTTGCTCCGGCCAGGGGGTCACGTTTAGGGCAGGAAATACCTGCCCTCTTGCTTCTGTGATCTCTCCCAATAAGCTTCTGTGCGGCCTTCCCTTCAAAGCCCCCGGTACGCACTGGCGGATGGTGGTTGTTTTTCCCAGGTTCGGCTCGGCCCTTTTTGGTCCCAGGTTCGGCGCCCACGACCGCCCAGCCCGCCAAACCTAGAAGAACAAACACTCGGGGCCCCATGTGCACTGGGCCAACATTGATATCGCACTCCTGAGCTTTGGGCGTCCCTCGCAAACAACTTCCACCCACGCCCACCGGCCTGGGCCTTTCGATCCAGGATACGTGGGATAGTCCCGATGGATCTTGAAGAAGTTGGGATTGGGCTTTGAGACGATCGCCTCGTCTCCAATCTCACATCGCCACCTGGTGGAAACTGCGCTCGGTCCCTGAAAATCTTTGAAAAGAAGGCCTTTGTCGTTGTGTGGGGGTCCTCACTCTTCATACTTCTACAGGGAAAGAGGCATGTTCGGCGCTTCGTATCTGCGGGTCTACAGGTCCGTGTCCAAAAGTGTCCAAAGATTCTGCATGAATTACCGTCAGTCCTTACTTCATTTCCTGATGTCTGCCCAACGGCCCGGACTGCCCGACGAAGCCAGGATAGCACTGTGCCCCCAGCAGTTTCGCAAGCAACCTACCGCGCCTCAGCGTCTCCATCCAGCGGCCCAGCGCGGTCTTGGGGTTGCCATTGGCCGCGCGCAGAACATAGAAGGGCACGTCCCGTTCCTTGGCTCTCCAGGCCGTTAAGCGCTTCACGCTTTGCTGAGCGAAAAATGCCCTTCCGCCCACTAACATGGCTCCTGCGGGATGGCATCTGGAAGACCAGTTTCCTCTTGGATGGATCCCCTGCCAACTGCCAAGTGCCATGTTAGTGTGAGAGCGGGTACGTGCTTGTTTTCCCAAAAGTGAGTACCGAGTTAGAGGGTTTGCCAAAAAGCATCCAAGACAGGGTAATGTGCCTAAACCGAACAGGGCACCATGGCACTGTTTTGGCAGGAAGCAGTCAGGTGAAGAGCGCCCTTGTTTTGACACTGACACCCGCCGGGCCACCTGTCATACTGCCCGCTCGAAAGAAACTTTAGCCCTCCCCGGCAACCATGTGCCACTAACTTTAGCGAACATCAGGTCCTGATGTTCGCTAAAGTTAGTGGCACATGGTTGCCGGGGAGGGCTAAAGTTTCTTTCGAGCGGTGGCGTGTTGTCACGTTACAAAAGTAGCGCTTGTGTCCACTTCCCCTCGCACCAAATCTCGCACCTGACGAAGAGCAGGCCCTCCACCGAAACATGTGCGAGCAGGGGTAAGCAAGCCTCGCGCTTCCGCTAACCCCAAGTGGAGAAAAAGCCGCCAATGGTACTTACGATTCAATGTCACATATGGCGGGTGAGGAACATTGGTTTCCTGTACTACCAAGGCTAATTGCTTCAGGGCCCGTGATGTGGCTATCTTCAAGCATCACAGTTGAGATTCGTTTAAGCTGGCATTAAGAAAAGAAAGATTTAGCCGTCATCATCGGTTTCCTCCAAAACGAGGAGAGACAAAAAAGCAAGACAATCGCCACAAGCAAATGGAAGCTGTACGAGAAAGATGGCAAACCCTCGAGACTAAAGTTTGATGTGCGCTTTCTCCATCTAGCATGCGACACGCCTTGAAACGGGAGGCTCTACGAAAAGTGCTGAGTTCCTTTGTGGCACATATAGATTCTCTACCGCAAAGCTGGACTCCCTTTGTGAGAGATTCCCAGCGTCCAAGCTCCTCAGCTCCCGCCGGTCCGCATCCCGCCCCAGCTTCGCCGCCCGGCAGGACCTCGTCTCCGCGGACTTCGCGGACTCCGCGGACTCCGCGGACTCCGCGGACTCCACGGACTGCGCGGACTGCGTCGCCGTGGGCTGGGCGAAAAGCGGCGGCGCCAGGGCCCCAATTGCCATGGCCCCAAGGAGGGCCGCAAGCAGTGGCCGCCTTTCGCGCTCCATTGGAATCAGCCGCGGATGGGACATGGAAAAGCTAGGGTGTTGCTTAAGGCGTGCGATTTGAGTTTGACTTTGGCGTGTTCTCCAGTGCGCAGTCTTTAGGTTGCTGTGGGCATAAAACACAACAATACGACGTGGAGCTGCTTTTAGCTCGGTAGACTTCGCCACAAGCGCTTCCAGCACTTCGCTTTTTAGCATTGGCTGCTGCAAATGTGCGGCGGCGCGGCAGAATGGCAATATTTTACTTGGCCAAATCCGGCTTCAGGGCCGCCACGAGCAAAGGGCGGAAGGTACTTCTGCCAGTCCTTGACACACATTTGCAGCAACAAACCCAAAAAAGAACAGGCCCACAAAGAATGTCCGACAATCATACCTAGACCCCCAGCCCCCACCCACCCACCCAATCTGCAAAGCTGATACTCCAGCAACAGCGATACCCCACCCAATCTGCAAATTTCACAAAATGGCCCAACCCTGCCAAGCACTCCTTCTGCTCCGGCTGCTCGGGCTGCTCCGGCTGCTCGGGCTGCTCGGGCTGCTCCGGCTGCTGCGGCTGTGGCTTCTGCTGTGGCTGCTGACCGGCCAGCAGCCTCGGATTCCGGCACAGGCGAAGGGACCCAAGGATGCTTGCTGGTGCTCAGAAGGGAATGAGAATCGGAATGACCCCGAGAAAAACCATTCCCTATGGGTTTCCGTTGCAGGAATCCCCATTCCAATCCTCATTCCCTACCTATCGCACCAGCAAGGATTGCCCACCCGGGTGGGGAGCTCCCACTTGGGGCGTTCAAACTTGGATCGCTGGCGCGCATTCGGCAAAAGCTCCGGCGACACGTGGTGTTGGGCTCCCACCTTGCCATTTGGGGCTTGTTCCCTTTTTTTTCTGTGCTTTGGTTAGAAAGAAAACCGCAGCAAACCCGAGAACATATGTGCCTGATCTCGCCGAGAAAAAAAGAAGAAAACGAAAAGGAAAAAAAACAAGGACAAAAATCGGGGAAAAAAAGGGGGGGAAAAAACTGGACCTCCCGGCATGGCCAGCGCCGGCTCCTTGGGCGCGAGGTGGCCTAAGCTCACGAATCGGGCGGGGGGGGGGGGGGGTGACGCGAACCGGGGGCCACTTCCCCTTGCAAAGGTTGCAAAAATCGGCCGGGCTTTTTCGTATTGAAGCTGCCCCCACTTCTGGAGGCTCACCAAAATTTGGTTGTAGCATCATGGCTTCCATTAGGATCGCCACTTTTTGGAGGTTGCCATTGGCTTCGCCCAAGGTGAGCGGCTTGCGGAGTCCTTTCGCGGGATGTGCGAAGCCTGCATCGAATGATCAGATCTGGTTTTGGTGCCGGGCGCCCCTGGTCTGGCACAACGCATGGTCAAGAAGGATGCCCTTCGATCCAGCAACAGGTGGTGTTGCAAATGGATCGCCAAAGCGCGTCTTACGAAGCCCTCGCCTTTGCTCTCCCTGGGGGCCACACCCTTCTGGGACTCCCGGGACTCACGAGCCACGTCCCGAGCAAAGCCCGGCACAAACTGCGGCCAGTTCTGCGCGCAGCGTGTTCCAACGGACGTCCCGCGAAACCACTGGGACATGCTGTTGATTCCTATGGTTGTCAAGGGCCAAATAGGGGCCCCCCAATCCCAATAGGGGCCAACAGCGACTAATAAGGCCCGCCCCCTGACAACCATCGGATTCATTGAAGGAAAACATGCGTCACTGGATATCACCTTCAAAAGTTGCATTGTTTTCATCATGGGTTCCAAATCAAATGGTGCACCAGGCATCACCTGTCGAAAGCACTCAGAAAATGCAACGACTTACGTCAAATAACATAGGTGTTTCATCCCCCAGCTTGGTGGGAGGCCGGTGGGGTAGGAATGTTGCTTCCAATGGTTAGGATCCTTGCAACTCTCGGTTTCCCCGTACCCAACATCAAAAAAAACAATATTATCAACACATCCCCATACTCGCCTCACAAAGGAAACACACTGCCAAACGGTTGGCTTCTTGAGGCTGGCCCTAAACAACCGCTGTCGAAGGCTCACGCACTCCCTGTCCTTCATCTCTGGCTGTTCGGGCCTCAGGATGGCCGAAGCTTCGCCGC